AACCGAGCACATTTCTAATAGATACACCTTGGTTTCCCACCTCTCTCAAGTTATGAATCAGTTCACACTACTGGCTAATAATGCTTTTTAAATTTTTGGTTGCTGTTTGGGCCACACCCAGTTGTGTGTGGGGGCTTACTCCTGGTTCTGTCAATCCAAGGGGAGTTCAGGTCACTGTGGGGAAACCAGTGATAAAACTCAAGCCAGCTGTGCCTCATCCACTGGACTATCCATCTTTAAGCAACAGAGTAAACCTCCAAAGATAAGTCACTGGGCTTCTGAGGCTGCTTAAATTGTTGTAGTCCTGGTGGCCTCTGAGCACTGTTGATATGGCCCAGATTAAAAAGATAGATAGATGTGCTGTTATTCCCATTTTACATAAGCAGAGCAGACTCAAAGAGATAAGCAATTTTAAGGTTATAAAGACCCTGGATTCTGAGTCAGTGCTCTCCTTTAATTACTATTTTAGGGGTTGGAGCTATAGTACTGAGGGTAGGGCAATTGCGTTGTGTCAGGTCAACGAGGGGTTCAATTTCCCATCATTCGAGACAGTACCCCAAGCTCCACCAAGAGTGATTCCTGAGGGCAGAGCCAGGAGTAAGGCCTGGGCAAATAAAATAAATGTACTATTCTTCTGAACCTTTCCAGATGTGCTTGGAATAGAACAACTCCTTGCAATATTCAGCCTGGGAATATAAGCAGGAGGGTTCAAAACGGTGGTGCTCTGCCCAGAACAACCCCATCAAAGTGAGGACTTCAGGAAGGCATGCATCCCACCCTTCTGAGCTATCTCCCCAGCCCTTTATTAAGGTAAGGTAAAGGCCCTCCCGATGATCGTCGATTTGCTCGAGCGGGCCCAGTAACGTCTCCATTGCAGACTTTGTTGTTACTGTGTCTGTCATATCCAATACTCTCGGTAGCCCTTTATTGTATTTTTTAAAAAATTATTTCAGGATTAGTTCTGAAATCAGTGTTCTTAACTGCACGGCTGTAATCTTGTTATTAACCCTCTTGGGTGTGTGGAAGTCTTGTTGCTCTGATTAACTTGTATGCCCTACTATTTATGAATAGCATCTTCTGTTTCTAGGGATATGCGTAATGCTCAACATTTAGATTGTTAGATATCTGAACAATTCATGGGCGTGGCTTGTTTAACTAAGGAATTATAGAGTAGGGGGCTGGAGAGATAATGAGTAAGGAAATTGCCTTGCATATAGCTTGAATCCACCGTCACCTACGGTCCCCCAAACACTACTAGGAGGTGTCCTGAGCACAAAACCAGGAAGAAGCCCTAAGCAAAGCTTGATGTGACCCAATGACGCAAAACAAAAATTACAGAACAGACTCTTTATGTTGGTCTTCTGCCACCCAGCAATATACTTCCAATTCAATTCAAATAAAGCACCGAAGTTAGTATACTCCTTGACAATAGACTTGATGAATGAACATTATTAATAATAATGTAGGACTTTTGCATGTAATAACCTTACCCCTCAATAAAAAGACAAATGAAGAGTATAGGGTCCCCCACCTCTGTTGTGTATATATGTTTAAAACACAGATACATAAGCAAGTTTGCAGTGATATGGGGTGTTGTTACCTCTGGAGTTAAAAATACTGATAGGTTTTGTGGCAGGGTACTATTTTGTGAAGATTTGTTGGTTTTGCTTATTTTTTGGCTAGCACTGACCACTTAACCTTATGCACTACCAGGGACCTCCTGAAATTCTAGTTGTATCTATAGTTTCTTCTTCAGAGCAATTACTAGAGAATGGATTAAGCAAAGAAGTCCAGAGGATAGCCTTATTGAAATTAGTCCGTTTTGCCCAATCAGGCTAGAATCACTACCGCTTTCTCCTTAGATCTACTAAAGTGATTCATGAGACTGCAAATATGCATACGAGACTGAAGGAAGAGGATAGCCTTTATTCAAGTCTGTATGCTGATTCATGGGATTGGTACCTGGCAAGTAACAATACCCGCACCCCAACCTTAATTAGCATATAACCTAGACTCAGCAGTGGTTCTAGGAGACGACTGCACACTGAAATCCCAAAACAGGCTTTAAACTACTAAAGCCTGGGTCCTACTCTGAGATCATTGTAATATAATTATCCTAGTTGTGGTCTGGCCCTTAGTCATGCTATTAGGAATATCTGGAAAACATTAGGAATTTGAAAAACTCGCCAAGTGATCCAAAAAGAAGTCAAAGAAGTCAAGTTTGAGAACTTTTAGACTAGTGCAGTGGTTTTTAACTAGCAATCCATTGCATGTCAGAGGTCACGAAAAGACTGAAAACTGGTAGGCTAAAATTACTAGAGAATTGCCAGTCTCAACCCTAATGCCTTAAATGGGCAGGAGACAACCAGTTGAAATCTATTATGTCTTTAAATTAGATACACCTGAAATCAAATCCCAATTCGGAACTTTCCAGATCAGTGGTTGCAAAGTTGCTCTGCAAAAGATATATCCAAGTCCTAACCTCCAGAGCCTGTGACAGTTCCCTTTTTTTTTGGTACTTCTGCAATTGTTTTTTTAAAAAAACAAGTCAGACTATACAGAATATTAGTGTTTTAATCATTCTGTACATATTTGTACTAACAGCAGAGCAAGTATTACATTAATTGTAACCAAAAATTTTATATAAGCAGATATACTTTATTAAAAGGAATATCAATTATTTGTCTTTTAAAATCTACGGAGACAAAAATCCCTACCTATACCTGTTCTGTTCAACATTTGTATTGGAAAAACTTTGCTAGAAGTTGTAGGTCAAAGGTGATATATATATATATTTTTTGACAGTTCCCTTTTTTGTGGGGGTGGGAAGGAAGGAAGGTATAATTTGTCCATATCATTATGTTACATCTACAAGTAAGTTGTTAGCATCTACAGGTTAATTCCATCATCCTGGATAGTGACCCCGAAAGCCAATAACAGGTGCCTTTATAATGTGGAAATCACAGAAGGTCACAAGAAGGGCAAAGCAGAGATGGGCTCCTGCCACCACAAGCCTCAAGAAGAGACTGAACCACCAGAAATCTGAAGGGGTGAAGGACTCTCCACTAGAGACTTGAAACCACCTGTCAAGAGCTTGAATCGGGGCTTCCAGAATTCAGAACTACTGGGGGGAATCTATTTCTTTTTCCCTCACTACACTTGTACACTCAGTTTTTTTTCATCTATTAAAAAAAAAGGAGGTGACATCTGCACTCTAGACTCATCTTGTGGAAAATGGCTTACTGCGAGGGGCAGACCAGAAAAGGGGGAAGTCTCTGCTAAGTGCTTGGAAGGATCATGCACTGTGCCCAGCACCCCTTAGGGATGATTTCGCTCCTCTTTTTGTATTTCTTTCAATTCAATTCAAAGAAAGCACCGAAGTTGGTATACTTCTTGACAATAGACTTGATGAGTGAACATTATTAATAAGAATGTAGGATTCTTGCATGTAATACCAGATAACTAAGGACTTTTGCATGTGATACCAGGTAACTAAGAACTTTTGCGTGCAGTACCAGGTAACTAAGGACTTTTGCGTGCGATACCAGGTAACTAAGGACTTTTGCGTGTAATACCAGGTAACTAAGGACTTTTGCGTGTAAATACCAGGTAACTAAGGACTTTTGCATGTAAATGCCAGGTAACTAAGGACTTTTGCGTGCAATACCAGGTAACTAAGGACCTTTGCATGTAAATACCAGGTAACTAAGGACTTTTGCATGTGAATACCAGGTAACTAAGGACTTTTGCGTGCGATACCAGGTAACTAAGGACTTTTGCGTGCAGTACCAGGTAACTAAGGACTTTTGCGTGCAGTACCAGGTAACTAAGGACTTTTGTGTGCGATACCAGGTAACTAAGGACTTTTGCGTGTAAATACCAGGTAACCAAGGACTTTTGCATGTAAATGCCAGGTAACTAAGGACTTTTGCGTGCAATACCAGGTAACTAAGGACTTTTGCGTGCGATACCAGGTAACTAAGGACTTTTGCGTGCAGTACCAGGTAACTAAGGACTTTTGCGTGCAATACCAGGTAACTAAGGACTTTTGCGTGTAAATACCAGGTAACCAAGGACTTTTGCATGTAAATGCCAGGTAACTAAGGACTTTTGCGTGCAATACCAGGTAACTAAGGACTTTTGCGTGCGATACCAGGTAACTAAGGACTTTTGCGTGTAAATACCAGGTAACTAAGGACTTTTGCATGTAAATGCCAGGTAACTAAGGACTTCTGCGTGCAATACCAGGTAACTAAGGACCTTTGCATGTAAATGCCAGGTAACTAAGGACTTTTGCGTGTAATACCAGGTAACTAAGGACTTTTGCGTGCGATACCAGGTAACTAAGGACCTTTGCATGTAAATACCAGGTAACTAAGGACTTTTGCATGTAAATACCAGGTAACTAAGGACTTCTGCGTGCAGTACCAGGTAACTAGGGACTTTTGCGTGTAATACCAGGTAACTAAGGGTCGAAGAAATTAACTCCCTGCACACAGCCACAGAGCTAGCAAGCGAAAAACGGGTGGCACGATCCAGGCCCACTCCCGAGACACCCCTCGCCCGTGTCAGCTGGTTCACGATTTCGAAGCCAGCACCGACAAGCCGAGGACGGGAGGCGCCGCTCGGACCTCCACCGCGGCGACCACGCGGCAACCCCGGGAAATCAAGTCTCCTCCGGGCTCAGACGCGACAGGGTTAATGACGTCATTTTCAGGCGCCGCGTACGTTCCCCCCTCCCCACCCCCCGCCGCCGACGGATGCTCTGAAGGGACAAATTAACTCGGGATTCGACTCTCGCGCTTCCCGATGAGGCAGAACCGACGCCCACCAATAGAAATGCCCGATTTTGTGTTTTCTTTCTTTCTTTTTTTTTTTTTAGTATTTCCCGCCCCGTGAAACCCGAGATCCGCCGCTGCATTGCGGAGGGGGCGGTCGGCGGTGGAAAAAAGCAAGGCCTGGGGGCGTGGCAAACGCGGGGCGGGGCCAACCGAGGGCGGGGCCAAACCAGGAAGCGGAAGTGGCGTTGCGGCGCGACCCTCGGCGCGTGTGTGGGTCCCACGTGTCAGGTGAGCGGGGCGGCTGGATCCTCGGTGCCGGGGTGGGATTCGCACCCTGCCCGGCCCTGCCCTGCCCGGCCCTGCCCGGGAGAGGGGCGGTCTGGGAGGGGTGCGGTGCTCGGACTTGTCCGCAGCCCGGCGGGCTTCTGTGGCTTCTTCTAAGTCGGGGGCTTGCCGGGACCCCCGCGGCGAGGGCGCGTTTGGCGCCTGTCCTGCCTCTCCCACCTGGTCGGGGACTCCAGGTTGGTCCCTGCTGGTTGGTTTGGGCTCCCTGCACCCGGGCAGCCTGGCGATCCCCGTGTCAGTTCCAAGCCCTGGGCAAGCTAGAGTGCTCAGAAGGCAGCTGGGAGGGTCGGAGGAAGTGATTTTATTTTATTTTTATTTATTTTTTTTGCTTTTCGGGTCACACCTGGCAATGCACAGGGGTTCTTTCTGGCTCTGCACTCAGGAACTACTCCTGGCGGTGCTCAGGGGACCCTATGGGATGCTGGGAGTCGAACCCGGATCGGCCACCTGCAAGGCAAACGCCCTATCCGTTGTGCTATTGCTCCAGCCTCTGAATTGGGCTTTTTTCTTCTTTTTTTTTTTCTTTTTTGCTTTTTTGAGTCACACCCAGTGATGCACAGGGCTTACTCCTGGCTCATGCACTCAGGATTTACTCCTGGCGGTGCTCAGGGGACCCTATGGGATGCTGGGAATCGAACCCGGGTCGGCCGCGTTGCTAGGCAAACGCCCTGCCAGCTGGGCTATATCACTCCTGCCCCAGGAGGAAGTGATTTTTAAAACCGAGCCCCCTGAGCAGGAATGTTCACCCTGTCCCGCCCCCCCTGGAAGCCCAGGGAGGCTACTTGAAGCTGAACAGTAACTTTGTGTTCCAGTTGCAGTAACAGTAACAGTGACAGTAACAGTAACGAAGTCCTGGGGTGGAAGCTTGAGAGAGACGAGTGTAGTGAGCTGGGAGTCCCCAGGGGTGTAGGATCAAGTTAGGAGGGGAGTGGTGGGGGCAGAGGGGTTGTAGAGCTCCAAAGGTGAGGGAGGTTAGGCCCAGTTCTCTGTAAAGGGAAAGCAGTCGTTTCAACGTATGACGTTTGGACTTCATGGATTAGTAACTGATGATTGGGGTAGCTTGGTGACAGGGAAAAGAGAAGTTGGAGGGAGTTTCAAAAGGAATTGAAGGGGACTAGGTGAACCAGAGTAGCAGTCAAGGAGAGGAGCAACATCAAAGGCAAACCTTGGGTTTCTTCTTTGAGCACAGGAAGAGGTGATGTGCCTTTGACTGAGACAGGGAAGGAGGGATAGAGGAGGATATTGTTTGGGGTGTTTTGTTGGAATGTATCAAAGAGTTTTATTTTGGACTAGTGAGTGGGGGAAGCTTATTAAGATACCAACTGAGGAATCATCGGGCAGACTCAGGTCTCAGTGCCCAAGAAGTTTTTCCTAGTGGAGACAGAAATTGGGAATTCTCAGCATAGCTATAGTCACGGCACTGTCCAAAGCCAAGCCGATTGATTGAGCAACAGGACAACAGTATTGGGAAACCCAAATAATAAAGCATTGTGATAGGATTTTTATGAAAACGATAAATGGGGAGAGAGGCAGCATGGGGTTTCTAGATCCAGAAGTAACCTGTTAGGCAGATTAAGTGGAAGAATATTTTGATGTAATCTTTGGCATCGCTGAAAGTTAACTTGGTTCCCTCTAACAGAATCGGGGAAGTTTGAAAGTTGTCTGTTGTGAGAACACCACTGTCTTTTTTTCTTTTCTCTTTTCTTTTTCCTGAGTATCGCTGTCACACCCGACAATACTCAGGGGTTTATTCTGGCTCTCCGGTGAGGATTGAACCCGGGTTAGCTATGTGAAAGGCAAACACCTAACCAGCTGTACTACCACTCTGGCCCGACATTGTGTTTTAAATGACTTAAGATGCACTATTTAAGATTGCCAGGCTGGAGCAATAGCACAGCGGGTAAGGCATTTCCTTTGCACACCGACCTGGGCTCCTCTTGGAGAGCCCGGCAAGCTACCGAGAGTATCTCACCCGCATGGCAAAGCCTGGCAAGCTACCCTTGACATATTCGATATGCCAAACACAGTAACAAAGTGTCACAATGGAGATGTTACTGGGCCCACTGGAGAAAATCGATGAACAATGCGAGGACAGTGACAGTGACATTTAAAATTACCATGGGAAGTTACAGGTTTTAAAAGTTCCCCTTTATTTTTTGATAAGTATGTTTTCTTCCAATCTGTTGTTTGTTCATAGCAGAGACCAAGGGCTGGAGAGGTGGACTGCATGCAAGAGACCTGGGTTCAGTCCCGGGAACATCAGGTTTCCCTGAATACCACCAGCATCAGCGAACTCTGAGCACTGCTCAGCGTCTCTTGCTTCCTTGCCCCAAATAAAGAAATTAGTTGGCAGTATTGTCAGTTTCTTATCAAGGCTTCCCAGGTTACAAATTCTATAAGCATTGGCACTTGTATCATACTTAATACTGACCTGTTTTTAGCAGGCATGTCAATGCTTCCAAATACATCACTCACTAGCCAGTTACATGTTTTTTTTTTTAATGAAATTTGGTCTATTTTCTGTTTTAAAATCCTAACAGGGATTCTAGATCCTAGACTTGTGTTAAGTGCCCATGTTATACTCAGGTGATAATAACTTGATCTCTGAATCTGGACCAGATGTGGTAATGACCGTGACTTTTGCTGGATAAGAAGCAACTTGGTTATTTTCGTTGTTTGTTTTTTTGGTTTGTTTGTTTTCCCAGCATTGATACAATGGAAGTCAAAGGGAAAAAGAAATTCTCAGGAAAAGGTTCAAAGAAATCACAGGAGAAGGGATTTCCGAAGAAAAATGGTAAGCTAGCTGTACCAAAACTTACCCTTCTCATGTGATTGGTGTGGTTCTTGTAATAGAAGAAAGATTTGGTGGGATGAGGACTGTATTACAGATTCCAATGTATATTCTTGATCGAGGATTAGAATTAAAATGGTTAGAGAAAAGCTATAATTGTGTGTATATATATATGTGGTTATTTCTTGAAATTTAGATAGTTAAGAAATTCCCGAATAATTGGGAACGCTATATTGCTGTCTCAGACAGCAATGCACTTGTCTTCGTTTGTTCATTAATTACCATAATATATTGTATATTTAAATAAATTTTATAATTTGTGGCTGGTTGAAATATACTTGATACTGCTTGAAAATAATTGATAATAAAACAGATACTTTTATCTTCCAAATTGTGATGACTCTGTTATTCCATCAGGTGTCAGTGTTGCAAAAGAGGAAAGTTAGAGACTGTATAAATGGCTAAATGTTTCCTAAGCGAGATATATATATATATATATATATATATATATGCACACACAAACACACATATCCACACATATATTTTTGGTAGCAATAGTAGGGTAGAGCTATCACAACTTTCATCTCATTTTATAGCCAATGATTGTTAGCCAGTGATTTTTATTAAATAAGTTACTGTAGACTTAGAAGCAATTTTTTAAATGAGGAATTTTGGAAAATTAACACCTCTAAGTGACAATACAGTTTTTATTTCATCTTCATTTTTTCTCAGATTGCTATTATGATTTTGAAATATTAAAAATGTTTAAATGACAGAGTTAAATAAAATACAAATGAATACAAGTAAAATACTAAAATAAAATACAAATCTGTCTCATCCCTACGATATGTTTACTGCAGAAATAATGCCACACTGACCATAGCATCTCGTTCCAGAATAGCGTTCTTCAACATTGTTATACCCGAGGGCTTGCCTCTGTGCTGTATTGGTGGGCCAGCAGTTATACTCAGGTGGTAGCCTAGTGGTTTTCACCCTTTCTGCATTTGTACCATGGAACCAGTCCTTGGACCAGTGGTTGAGGCCCCTTCTCTATTTATGTCTGTCTTCGATTTTTTTATTACACGTTTCTCTGCTTCATGGGTTCTCCATAGTGTGCGTGGGTGCGCATGCAAGTATATCCTTATCTGGCCCTGGGAGCACTGAGGAGGCCCAGGAACCCGGGTTGAACACTTGTTGGGCATGTGCCCTAATTGCAGTACTAACTCCCATAATTCTTTAAGCAACTCCCATAATTTTTTAAGCGGAGGTAGTTTTGCTTTTTTTGTTTGTCTTTTTGTTTTGCTTTTTGGGGGGTCACACCTGGTGATGCACAGGGGTTACTCCTGGCTCGTGCACTGAGGAGTTACTCCTAGTGGTGCTTGGGGACCATATGGGATGCTGGGAATCGAACCCGGGTCAGCCATGTGCAAGGCAAAGGCCCTACCCACTGTGCTATTGCCCCAGCCCCAAGCAGAGGTAGTTTTGTTGTTTTTGTTTCTTATATTTATTTATTGAATCACTGTGGGAAACGTTACAAAGCCTTTAGGTTTAAGTCTCGGTCATTCAATGTTCAAACACATTTCCTTCACCAGTACTTATTTTTCACCACCAAGAACCCCAGTAAAGCCCCCCTCCCACCCCTCCCAATGCCTGTGAGGCAGATGAATTCTACTTAACTCTCTATCTACTTTGATTACATTCATTATTTTGACAAAAGATGCACCATTATTGTTTAGAGTTTACACCCAACAATCAGAACTGCTGAAAAGGCATTGTGAAATACTTTGTTTTCTACAGTTAGTTATGAGAACCATATGATGTCGCGCGGCCGATATTTTACTTATTAAGCCTGGAGGTATTTCTGCCAAGAGCCAGATAATTACGAGATTGGTTTCTGTGGCTCTGGAGCCAGGCCGTGCCCGAGAGCCGCTCGTGGGGGGCAACTCGTGACCTCGGTAGGGCGTGAAGGACGAGCCGGGAACGCTCCCCTTCCCATGAGGTTGCAGTTTCCCCGTCACCGCCAGCTCATACCTGGCTTTCCAAAAACCTCCCAGGAGGCCACCATCTTGCTGCCCAGGGGGAAAGAGGCGGAAGGGAGCAACATCCCTTCCCTCCCGGGCAGGAATGGTGGTGTGGATTAACACATAGTCCATTCACTTTTCTGCCGCAAGCTGCTGGGCTAAGCGGAGGTAGTTTTAAGTGTGTTTTGATACTTAAAAACATGGTATGAATCAGTTTTAAAAAGTAGAGTGTTTGACTAGAGTATAATGTTCTGTAGCAAGTGCTACCTAGGAAATAAAAGGTAACCTTGTCCATGATCACTAAATTAATTACTTGTTATTGTCACTAGATTCTAGTTCTTCCAAGATGCCCCCAAGAAAAGTTGTCAAGGATGGCAAATCTAAAATCGCATCTAAGAACTTTGAGAAAAGTGCCACAAAGCCTGGGAAAAAGGGTGTGAAACAGTTCAAGAACAAGCAGCAAGGGGATAAATCACCGAAGAATAAATTTCAACAGGCAAATAAAAGTCACAGGAAGAGAAAGTTCCAGTCTGACGGTACAAGCGATGGTAAGTACTGACCACTTGAGCACGGTTTGTGGAAGCCTTCCTCTTCCTGAATAATAGTGCGGAGGAATTCACTCAAGAATTCCGTGGGGTGGGGGTGGGGGGGGGGCGGCGGACAGATAATACACTTGCCTTGCACACAGCCGCCCCAGATTAAATCCCCAGCAGCCCATATCGTTCCCAGAGCACCGTGAGGAGTGATCCCTGAACGCAAGCCGGGAGTAACCCCTGAGCATTGCTGGGTGTAGTGCCTTGCCTCCCCTCCCTGCCAAAAAAAAAAAGATTGCATTCGGTCCCTTCCATTCTTGTTCCGTGAACAGGAGGTGTCTTCTCTTGTCAAAATTGCCCTTCATTGCTTCTAATTTATTTCTTTACTTCTTGGTAAATTACTTTAAGTGGGAATTTGAGCTAAGCTGTAACGACTTCCTATAGTGAAATCTCCATAAAACGGTTTTTTTGTGCAAGCTAGAATAATTTGGGCTGGAGCGATAGCGCAGCGGGTAGGGTGTTTGCCTTGTACGCCGCCGACACGGCTGACGCGGCCAACCCGAGTTTGATCCCTCCACCCTCTCGGAGAGCCCGGCAAGTTACCGAGCGTATCTCGACCGCACGGCAAAGCCTGGCAAGCTCCCCGTGACGTATCCGATATGCCAAACACAGTTACAAGTCTCCCGGTGTTACTGGGCCCACTCGAGCAAATTGATGAACAACAGGAGGACAGTGACAGTGACAGAATAATATATCCATCAATTAAAACAAATACAGTGTACAAGGACTAAGGAGGAAAGGAATAATCAGTGATGATTCAGGATCTCACCATTGAGGAGATTCTTCTTAAATAACCAGCAAGTCTCAGCTAAATATCTGCTTTTGCTTTCGGGTGCCTGGGTGGATTATATCCGTGACCGGACCATTCTATTACATTGAGCCTATCAGATCAGATGGCAGGCAGTTCCAGGGAGGGTGCAGTATAGATACCTGCTAACTCTGCCTTTGTTGGAAGAGTCATCAGCACTCCGGTTTGTGTACTGAAACATACTTCTCATACTTGAGGAACATGTCGAATGCAGAACTCTGCTGTCTGTTATTTAGTGCGCCCCTAGTGCCCACTGCCCTGTACTGAGCAGTGTCCGGGTTTCGTGTGAAGGATCACATAATCTCTGCAGCATCTTGGCCGTTTCTCTAGGCTCTTTCTTTGTCTTCGTCCACTCCCCCCCTACCCCCCACCCCACTGCCCAGACCCCTGACACTATGATCCTTTGTTGAGAGCCCCACAACCAGGGTGTCTTGTCATTCCAGTTCCCTGACCCTGATCTCCGCCTAGGGCCACTGACAAATGGGACCGTAGTCTGAAGACAGGGAGACCGGGGAAAAATCAGGAAGGGGAAATTCCATTGTCATTAAGAAACAAGGGTTCTTCCATCCCAGCCCTTTCCTCTTTTCCTTTTTCTCCTTCCGTCTTTCATCAGTTTCTCTTCCAGCTTCATCCTCCTATTTCCTTTTTCCTCTTTTCTAAAAAGACTAAAACACTTCTCTCCCATCTGGATTTTCAACACAAACACATACTTGTTCTATCGTGCCCTGGTGCTTTTGTGTAAGGTTCCTGACATCTCAGAATGGAATTCTGGTTTTATTTCATTCTTAACTTTCAAACCAGCAATGGCAAGGGATTAAGTAGAAGACGGTCCCAAGTTTATTTGTATAAACTTCGTTTATAAGAAGTTTGGTTTGTTGCTGTGTATTTGCTGCGGTCTAGCATGACATAAGACAAGCAAGGGTCTCCACATATTTTTGGAATTAGATGAACTCTGAAGCAGTTACCCTCAGCTGTGTAGTATGTGATGCCCTGATATTTGTGGCAGTATGCCCTCTGTTGTCTGTAATCATCTATTTCCAGCCTGGAAATAAATGGGAATAATTAAGTACCTTGTGGAGCATACTTTTTTTTTAAATAGTAGTTATGCTCACAACCTAAAACATGTTTAAGTGAACACAAATTCTGACTTTTGAAAAAGTTTAATAGAAAACATGCATAGGAAAAGAGCGTAGAAGGAACTAACATGTTGATTGTTGGGGATTATATGATTTTGCATTTTTTGTGGTTTTCTGTTTTTGTTTTGTTTTTTTGTTGTTGTTTTTGTTTTGTGTTTATGGCACCTAACATGTCACATATGATTGAGAACTATTTCTATAATGACTAGAATCAGCAACCAAGAAACCCAAATGGGATGACTTCAAAAAAAAGAAGAAAGAGTTGAAACAGACCCGGCAACTCAGTGATAAAACCAACTATGACATTGTTGTTCGTGCTAAGCAGATTTGGGAGATCTTAAGAAGGTAATCTTTGTTACTCCTTTTGAGATGATGGAAGAGTAGAAGTGTACCTCATAGATACCGAGAAGTCCCAAAATAAATGCCATAGCTCTTAGGTTATTTAAGGGGAGTATTCTCAGCACTCCAGGAGAGGCATCAGTATTTGGATAGATGCCCATTGCAGAAATGTGCGGAATCGTTTGGATGGTGTCAGATATGTTTGTGGAAATGGATAAGAGTTTTTTATCCATTTGACATCCTAAGAGATTTCGGAGGAAATGAGGGACATTTTCTAATCGGCTGGGTTTTGAAATGCTTAAGGATGTGGTTTCTTAGGCTTCTCTTATTATTTTCTTTACTTTTGAAGTTCTGGCTGTAAAGATTTAGATTGATGCATAAAATTATACCTTTTGAGATGAGTTTCTACCTTTGAGAAAATTACTTTTCTCTGGCTGCTCTGGAATAGTAATTTTAATGTCAGAGGTTTGCTGCCTTCAAAGAGAAAATCGTACTGAACTGGATGAATATACACCAGCAGGAACTTTTAGTTTTGTGAGTTTTAAAATAATGTCTTGAACTATGCTTCCTCCCTCTTTTGACAGAAAAGACTGTAACAAAGAAAAAAGAGTGAAGTTGATGAGTGATTTGCAAAAGCTGATTCAAGGAAAAATTAAAACTGTAAGTAAGGCATACTCATGGTTGTAATTTATAAAATGGAAATTGAGTCTTTTTTATTAAAGGTTAATTGCCCATGACAGGTGAAATGTAATTTTAAACCTATTTCGCTTCACCGAGTTGGATTGAGATATAATTGACATATTACTATACAAATATACAACATAATGTTTTGATATACATTGATTGTGAAATAATTGCCACATAGGTTTAACTAACATCCACACCATCAATACTTTTTTATAATACTTTATAAACAATAAGTTTAATAGAGAGGGACCTTACTTCTTGGAAACTATAAAGCCTCTTAATTATTTAACCATATCATTGTATTTTGCATATTTAAATATATTTACTTGAGAAGTGTTCATTTAGTAAATTCACATAAATCCTAGGTTTTCCAATGGACACCTTACAAAGCTTGTAATACTAGAAATAAACATTGTGCAAGGTGTTGTTTCATAAAGTACAGCATGCTGAAAGAAAAGGAAATATAACATGTATTACTCATTTTTCAATAGAAATCTGACTAAAGATCCTAAATAACACATGGAATTTACTCTAAGCACGGTGTCTTTGATGTTCTGTGCACTTGAGGTTTCCATGAGAAATCTTTCCTTGGGGGAGCAACAGACAGTGATGCCCAGGCTACTCCTGGCTGTATTTGGGGGACTGTTGTGGTCAGCTGGAGCGATAGCACAAGGGCGTTTGCCTTGCAAGCAGCCAACAAGCTGACCCAAGTTCGAGTCCTCCGCCTCGGAGAGTCCGGCAAGCTACCAAGAGTATCTCGCCCACATGGCAAAGCCTGACAAGCTCCCCATGACGTATTCAGTATGCCAAACGCAGTAACAGTTGTCACAATGGAGACATTACTGGGCCCACTCGAGCAAATCGATGAACAACAGGAGGATAGTGACAGTGACAGTGACAGTGTGGTCAGCTACATACAAGGCAGGCACCTTACCCGCGTAATCTCTTAACCCCTTTCATGAGAGCTCAACAGACTATCAATTTCCAGTGTCATTTAAAATACTTTACGTAACATTAATGATGTTCTCAAAATTACTCTGTGGTTCCAGAGATGAAATTAATGCCTCACATATGCCCGGGAAGTGCTCTAGCATTGGGATAGGTCCATGGCCCTCAATATTAACTGAGGAAATAGTTCGGTAGTGCTGCTCTGAAGTTCTTTTCATATATTCTTTTTAGTGGCTGACTTTTTAGTATATGTGATGCGAACACGATTACTTTCCTTGTTTTTACAAATATCACGCAAAGATCTTGATAAGAAATTTGTGAGTTCTTTTTGTTATTCCTATTTTTAACTGTTTCATAGTAAACTTCACTCTTCTGTGTTTTGGATAAATGCTTAGTGTCTGATCATTTGTAAGACTCAGTGTCTTTGAGGAGAGCCCTAGAGGGACAGAACCTGTGTTGAGCCATTTAGGTGATCTAACTAGACACTGTGGTTCAGTTTGCAGGAATGTCTTGAAATGGTAAGTTCCCAGCTGCAGCCTCCCACCCTCCACAACCCCACAACTCTCCTACCCCCATCTTCCCCACAATCTAGTAAGATCTTTTTTTGTTTCATGTTTTTTGGGCCACACCCTGCCACCTGCAATGCTCAGGGGTTACTCCTGGCTCTGCGCTCAGGAATCACTCCTGGTGGTGCTTGAGGGACCATATTTGATGCCGGGGATAGTACCCAGGTTGACCATGTGCAAGGCAAACACCCTACCCTCTGTCCTATCACTCTGGCCCCTAGCAAGATCTATTTAGCATAGAATGACCTTTACTTTAAGTTGAGGTAACATTTTAAATATTGCATTAGTGTCAGATGGGCTGGAGCGATAGCACAGTGGGTAGGGCATTTGCCTTGCACACAGCTGACTCTGGTTTGAGTCCTCCCTCCCTCTCGGAGAGCCCAGCAAGCAACCAAGAGTATCCCACCTATATGGCAAAGCCTGGCAAGCCCCCCCCCGTGGTGTATTCCATATGCCAAAAACAGTAACAAGTCTCACGATGGAGACGTTACTGGTGCCGGCTCAAGCAAATCGATGAACAATGGGAGGACAATGCTACAGTGCTACATTCGTGTCGATATACAGCTTTGTGTATCAACATCTGTAAGAGCTATGTTATGATCACGGCCAGAAGTCTAATTTCATTAAATAATTGGACATCAGCATGTGCCCTGATTCTTTACTGTGTGATTGGAATTGTGCTAAGCTATGCATAAGTCATTAAACTTGATGTGATCACCCAGTTAAACAGTTTATGCATCTGGGCCTTAGTGACGTTAAGTTTTGTTCCTAGTCTCACTGTGTCACTGTCATCCCGTTGTTCATCAAGTTACTCGAGCAGGCGACAGTTATGTCTCCATTCGTCCCAGCCCTGAGATTTTAGCATCCTGTCCTTACTCATCCATCCCAACGTTGCCATATTGGAGGCTCTTTCCGGGTCAGGGGAACGAGACCCGTTATTGTTACTGTTTTTGGCATATCGAATACGCCATGGGGAGCTTGCCAGGCTCGGCCGTGCATTCCTAGTCTCAGAACAGTAAATTCCTAATTCCTGAATAAATGTAATAATATTCCTCTCTTAAAGTTGCTTTGAGATCTACATAGAAGAAACATTTAAGACATAACATTGGAACTATATTATAGAATCAATACGTGTGCAAAAGGCACTTTTAAAAGATGATTAAAACTATCTGTTTTTTACTTTTAAGTAAATCTGCACACAGCTTTAAAAACTAGTGAAAGAACTGGGAATGTGGCTCGAAATTTTTTTAATAGTTCAGGTTATACGTTTGCAATGTTGTTATTTATGACTGCTTTGGTTATTTTTTTAGGGGAGGGTGGGTTGAACAGCCAACAGTGCTCAAGGGACCATGCGTGGTACATATGCCTTAATCATTAAAACTGATTAAAGGAATCAGTTTTGAAATACAACTTGACTAGTAATAAAGCGGATTGTTTGTTCTGGGAATGTAGTGAATATGAGAAATTGAGTTATTGGCTCATGTCATAATTGCCAGGGTATGTATGTACACAACAAGACATCTTTTTTCTTACAGGTATACGTAAGTGTATCCTATTTCGAAATGTTTAGTCATAGCTAATATCTTATATCTAAATGTTTAGTTGCCAAAACCAAATGTTCTTAGACTGTGTCGTTTCAGAATCATTGGATAATAGAAATTTTTAATTGGGAAATTCCCCTCTTGGGGAAGATAACTCCGAAATGAGAAGATCATTAGACAGATTTGGTTTAATTTTGTTTGGATCTAATTATAAGAGGGATAAATGGGCAGTGGGTGAATCTGTCCCTGTTGCAGTGCCATATGGTACGCGGAAAAACCCAAACATGACGCTCTGTACAATTAAAACAAGTATTTTTACTGCAAGCAAGGTTTGATTTTTGTTTTTCCTTGGACCCGTCTTGTTTTCCTAACAAGGGATTCTAAAAGTGATCGCAGTAAAGCATTTCAAATATTAAAGGAACAAAAATCTCTATATGTGATTTTTTTGAGCTACTCCTGGTGGGGCATAGGGAAGCATACCGGGTGCTGGGGATCAAACCTGGGGTGGCCACAGGCAAGACAGGTCCCCTCCCTGCTGGCCCTAAACAAAAATCGTCCGTGTGAGTCTGAAGGTGCATTTTCCCCCTACAGATTGCATTTGCACATGATTCAACTCGTGTGATCCAGTGTTATATTCAGTATGGTAATGAAGAACAAAGAAAACAGGCTTTTGAAGAATTGCGAGGTATTTCCTATATATATCAATAATTATTTATAGTAAGTGGCTTCTTGCTTGTTGAACTACTTGACTAAGCTACTAAATCTAACTGAACGATTTGTTAGAAGGCAGCGTACTCTCTGCCCGACTTCGTTCCTTTCTTTGTTTGCCTAGGACAAAGAGCATTTTGTGTTTGTAGCCCTAGGATTATGTTTATTTAGTTCTTTCTTTCTGGAGGATTGATGTGAGGGTATCAAATCATTATAATGTATTTTGTTTTTTAGGTGATCTGGTTGAACTGAGTAAAGCCAAATATTCTAGAAATATTGTCAAGAAATTTCTCATGTATGGGTGAGTTATTTTATAAGTATATTTTTGTTTGCTTTTGATTTTGAATCGTGTGGGGGTCATTTCCAGCGGTGCTTGCTTTCTCGGCCAGGGTAGTGTACGGGGGCTATATAGTTATACCTGGCAGTGCTGGGTGTGGGACAAGGTTGTACCAGGGAAGAATCCCAGGATCTCACACAAACAAAGAATGTGTTCTAGTGATTGTACATCAAAAGCATGAAAGTAGGCTTAAGGCATAGATGTGCCACATACGTTCCCTTGAGCAATGTTGGTTGTGGCCCAACCCTCCCTCCCTCCCTCAAAAAAAAATAATCAAAGCATCATAAATAACAATATTGTAAACATGTAACCTGAGTTAAATTTTTTTTTTTTTCAGTTCTTTTACTTGTTATAAAAGTTGTGTGCAGGGGCTGGAGTGATAGCACAGCGGGGAGGGCGTTTGCCTTGCACGCGGCCGACCTGGGTTCGATTCCCAGCATCCCATATGGTCCCCTGAGCACCGCCAGGAGTAATTCCTGAGTGCAGAGCCAGGAGTAACCCCTGTGCATTGCTGGGTGTGACCCAAAAGGCAAAAAATGAAATAAAATAAAGTTGTGTGCAGATTTACTTAAAAGCTTGTCGTCAAATAATGGACTGAAGCACGTGCTTATAATGCTTTCAAGGATTATGATTTCTTTCTTTCTTTCTTTCTTTCTTTCTTTCCTTCTTTCTTTCTTTCTTTGTCTCTTTCTTTCTTTCTTTGTCTCTTTCTTTCTTTCTTTTAGATTTTTATTAGTGAAACACCATGAGATACAGTTATAGACTAACAAATTTTTGTGCTTGGGTTTCAGTTATTCAATGATCCAGTACCCATCCCTCCACCAGCGCCCATCCTCCACCACTACAGGTCCCAGCATCCCTCCCACCCCCCATCCCACCCTGCCTCTGTGGCAGGGCATTCCCTTTTGTTATCTCTCTCCTTTTGGGTGCTGTGGTTTGCAAAAGTGGAATTGAGTGGCAATCAGTCTCGGTCTATAGTCTACTTTCAGCATGAGTCTCCCATCCTGGGCGGGTCTTCCCATCACCCTTTATTTGGTGCTCCCTTCTCTATCTGAGCTCCCTTTTCCCCTAGTATGTGTGGCTGACCTCCAAGCCATGGAGCAAAATTCCTGGTACTTATCTCAGCTATTCTTGGGTGTTAGTCTCCTATTTTGTTACTTTATGTTCCCCAGATGAATGCAATCTTTCTATGTCTATCCCTCTCTTTCTGGCTCATTTCGGTTAGCATGATACTTTCCATGTAGTACCACTTGTATATAGATTTTATGACTTCATCTTAGGAGTATGATCTTAAAAGCAGTTACTAAAATGAACATAAAATGCTATTGCCTTAACCATTCTTGTGAGTATATCTTAAAACATTGAAGAAGAAAAATGGGATGACCTGCTTTCTATATTTGGAGGATGTAAGGTTGAGAGGTGCAGGTAAATGGACTCATGCAGGACTAATTGATTATGTCAAAATGAGATCACGGTCACGATCATCCTGTTGTTCGTCGATTGCCTCGAGCAGGCACCAGTAACGTCTCCTTTGTCCTGTCCCTGAGACTCTAAAAATGAGACGATTTTTTAATTAAATGGGATTGATACTTTTCTTGATTTTTATTTAGTATAATAATATGCCAGAATATGCTAATGAACATCAAAAATATAGTTGATTAAATTTTTTAAAATTTTGTTTCTGGCTACAATTATAAGTCACTTGGTTATTTTATTATTGCTTATAATATGAATGGTTGAGGAACAGTCCTTTTTCTTTTTTATTCTTTTTTTTTATTGAATCACCATGAGATAGCTTTCATGTTTGGGTTACAATCACACAATGATCAAACACCCATCCCTCCACCAGTGCACATTCCCCACGAACAATATCCCTGGTATACCCCCCCTTTCCCACCCTCCCCCTGCCTCCATGGCAGATCTGATTCCCCATAATCTCTCTCTACTTTGGGGCATTATGGTTTGCAATACAGACTCTGAGAGGTTATCATGTTTGGTCCTTTATCTACTTTCTGCACACATCTCCCATCCTGACTGATTCCTCCAATCACCATTTTCTTAGTGATCCCGTCTCTATTCCAGCTGCCTTCTCCCCTCCGCTCATGAGGCAGGCTTCCAGCTATGGAGCAATCTTCCTGGCCTTTGTGTGTACTGTCCTTGGGTGTCGAGCTCATGTTTTGTTGTTTTTTTTTTTTTTTAAATAATGCTACTTTTTTCCTCAGAATTTCAAGAATGACCTCTAGAATAAATTGTGAAGTAAGATGATGAAAAAATGCTTCCTGTTTCATGTTTTGATTTCCCATTACAGTGTTACATGTTATGTTATTTTATACTCCACAAATGAGTGCAGTCCTTCTGTGTCTGTCCCTCTCTTTCTGACTCATTTCACTTAGCATGATACTCTCCATGTCTGTCCACTTATAAGCAAATTTCATGACTTCATCTCTCCTAACAGCTGCATAGTATTCCATTTTGTAGATGTACCAAAGTTTCTTTAACTAGTCATCTGTTCTAGGGCACTTGGGTTGTTTCCAGATTTTGGCTATCATGAACAATACTGCAATGAACATATAGGAAATGATGTCATTTTTACAGTGCTTTTTTGCAAGCTCGGGATATATTCCCAGAAGTGGTATTGCAGGGTCATATGGAAGCTCAATTTCTAGTTTTTGAAGGACTGTCCATACATATTGTTTTCCAGAAAGGCATTCCCACCAACAGTGAAAGAGTGTCCATTTTTCCCCACATTCACGCCAACACTGGTTGCTTTTGTTCTTTTGAACGTGTGCCAGTCTCTGTGGGGTGAGATGATATCTCATTGTTATTTTGATTTGCATCTTCCTGATGACTAGTGTTGTGGAGCATTTTTTTCATGTGCCTTTTGACCATTTGCATTTGTTTCTTGAGGAAGCTTCTGTTTATTTCTTCTCCCCATTTTTTGATGGGGTTGGAGGTTTTATGATTGTATAATTCTACTAGTGTCTTGTATATCCTGGATATTAATCCCTTATCAGATGGGTGCACTGTGCACTGTGCACTGTCTTATTGTACATCGATTTGCTCGAGCGGGCCCAGTAACATCTCCATAGTGAAACTTGTTTTACTGTGTTTGGCATATTGAATACATCGCGAGTAGCTTGCCAGGCTTTGCTCTGCGGGCGAGGTACTCTTGGTATCTTACTGGGCTCTCCAAGAGGGGCGGAGGAATCGAACCCAGCTTGGCTGGGCCAGCTGCACACAAAGCAAACGCCCTACCACTGTGCATTGCTCCAGCCCATCAGATGGGTAGCACTGTAGCACTGTCCTCCCGTTGTTCATCGATTTGCTTAAGCAGGCACCAGTAATGTCTCACAACACCTAGTGAGAACTTGTTGTTACTGGTTTTTGGCATATCGAGTATGTCACGGGGAGCTTGCCAGGCTCTGCTGTGCGGGTGAGATAGCTTGTCAGGCTCTCGAGAGGGGTGGAGGAATCGAACCCAGGTTGGTCATGTGTATTGGGTAAATAGTCTTTGCCATTCTGTGGTGTCTCCCTGTATTTTAGTCACTGTTTCTTTTGCAGTGCAGAAGATTCTTAGTTTGCTGTAGTCCCGTTTGTTATGATTGCTTCCACTTGCTTGGTCAGTGGTGTTTCATCCTTAAAGATGTTTTGAGCTTCAATGTCGTGGAGAGTTCTGCCTACATTTTCGTCTATGTGCCTTATGGATTCATGTCTGATATTGAGGTCTTTAATGGAACAGTCCTTTTTCAAAAAAGAATCCTAGAATATGTTTCACTTATATTTCCTAGCACTTTGTCTTATACCTTCTCCTTTTCTGCTCGTTTTCCACATTTTTTTTTTATAGTGGCCATTTTACAGGAACTGCCTTAAGTACCTACAATCCACTACAGCATAATCCATGTAATCGTCACATCCACCTGTTCTTTCCCTGTTCGGGTGGTGCTGTAGCACAGAGAAATGACTAGCGGGGGCGTCTCTTGGCTGGTGAGCAGAGCCAGTCTTCAGACCTCGGCCGTGGCCATGGAATAGCTTAGAAAGCAAAATGTAGCACGATAAGGAGTTTACCCCATTGTCCCTCTCCTGAGCATTCCTTCATGCATCTACATACATACTGAAAAGGAGACGTTGCGTATTTTGGTGTCGTCCAGCTTTCCCCGCTTGTCATTCACCCTTTCTCCTAATCACCTTGGGTTTAGGAGTAAACCGCAGATTGCAGAAATAATGAGGAGTTTCAAAGGCCACGTGAAGAAGATGCTGAGGCACGCGGAGGCCTCGGCCATCGTGGAGTACGCGTACAACGACAAGGCGGTCCTGGAGCAGCGGAACATGCTCACGGAGGAGCTCTATGGAAACACGTTCCAGCTTTACAGGGCAAGTTTTCAAGTTTTCATGACTTTTTTTTTTAACTGTTTGTCTAAGTGCTGGTTTGTTTTTTTGATTTTTCCCTACCAGTCCCCGGTTTCAGACTGTTTTTTTCTTTGGCTGGTCCTGTTGAGACTGTCTCAAACTCTTTGTTTCTCCCCTTTTAGATAATTTTATCTCTGGTGTTAGATACGATCATAAAGTTTCTCTCTCTCCAGCCATACGTTCTTTAACGTCCTGTGAGTTAAAACTAGTTTCTTGTTCCCTATCAGATACTCACTTACAGAGCGAGTGAGTGTTTTGTCTTCCAGTGGTATTTATAACTGGTTTAAGAACTGGGAAGTGCACCAGTTCATGACGATGGCATCAGGTAGACTTTTCTCACCTTGGGTTTTGGGTTTTAGTAATTTCAATTGGGCGATGGAACTTTTTGGGTCATTAGGTTAAGCAGCTGGAATGTTGCTTTTATCTGGAATGCTATAATTCCTGTCTTTGGACTACTCAGTGCTTCTGGGCAGGTGGTTCCAAATACAGTCATTTGGTCTCTGTGCTCTGCTGTATCAGCTGTTCCTGTAAGGTAGAGCAGCAGAGGAAGCTGTTGAGAGGCAGCATATGAGAAAGGATTTCTTGACTTGGATTAGGATGCGAGTGACAGGAAGAAAATTGACAGGAAGAAAATTGGTGGTAACGGAAAGAATACGGTATGAAAATCCCTGTAGCTAATCTCAGTAGTGGAGACCTTTAATTGAAAATTTAATAAGTACTTTATATTTACCAGCTGAATTTTAATCTTCTAAATTCTTACATTTGAAGTATATCATTAGACATCACCTCACACTCGGCACTCAGAGAGAAATATAACAGTCAAGTGCTTTTAGCTTGTGGTGCTGGGGGACTCTTGGGCTCCACGGGAGGTGCTTTCTTTTCTTCAACAGGCAAAAGAAACAAAACAACCTTAAAACATCCCACTGCTGTAAAGTCTCGCTTCTTAAAAATTGTGGTTTATGACCCCATAGGGGATAGTAGAGTTGAATATCGTGACAGTGGTTTAAGGTTTCTGAATGTGCTCTGACCAGCAGTCAATCCAAAATTAACTGCATCATGAATCTGAGCTGTTTCTGGCAGGACTTGCCTGTGTAGCCTTTCTCAGGCATAAAGGAGCTCCAAGTGGAGAAGTTTAAAAGCCCTCTCTAACGACCCTGGCATCCTAAGAATGTGTATTGCAGAATAATGAGAAACTCTCAAAGACTCTACTTATGTGTAGTTAGAATACATACTGTTGTAGAATAATTAGAATAATTTCTCTCTAGAGATGCAGCTCTTGTGTAAAGTGATCTCGGCAAAATGGCCTTAGAAGTTGACAGATCTTTTCAGGAAAGCAGACCGAGAATTTGAGTTTTCCCATTCTTGAGAATTACAATTCCAGTTGCTTGATGTATTTGAATTATCTTTTTCTGGTTATATTAGGAGGAAATACAAGTAAATCCTTTTAATTTTTAAATTTTATCATTTTTTATGTAATGAATCACCATGCACTCAGAAATTACTCCTGGTGGTGCTCGGGGGACCGTATGGGATGCTGGGAATCGAACCCAGGTCGGCCGTGTGCAAGGCATCGGCCCTACCCACTGTGATGTCACTCTAGCACAAGCTCAGTCACGCAACACATCATAAGACACTCCCTGCCCATTTTCCATAATTACCACTCCGTATATGATGGGGTTCAGACAGTAGTCAACAAATCAGTGTGAGAAATATGTATGTGTGTGTGTGTGTGTGTGTGTGTGTGTGTGTGTGTATGCCTCGGAGAGCCCGGCAAGCTACCAAGAGTATCCCACCTGCAAGGCAGAGCCTGGCGAGCTACCCGTGGCATATGCCAAAAACAGCAGCAATAATGGTATGCCAAAAACAGCAACAATAATGGGTCTCATTCCCCTGACCTTGAAAGAGCCTCCAATATGGCAGTGTTGGGAAGGACGAGTAAGGGGAGGCTGACAAAATCTCAGGGCTGGGATGAATGGAGATGTTACTGGTGCCTGCTCAAGTAAATCGATGAACAGCAGGATTACAGTGACAGACAGTGATCAAATACTCTTTCTAATGCTTTTGTCAGTGTGTTTCTGTGGTGGTTTTTTTTTTTTTCCCGGTTGTTGTTGTTGGTTTTGTTTTTGAGACACACTCAGTGCTGCTCTAGGGTTACTCCTGGCTCTGAACTAAGGAATTGCTCTTGGTGGTGCTCAGGGAACCACAGAGTATGCTGGGATGGAACCCTGGTTGGCCATGTGCAAAACAAATGCCCTTCTCGCTTTACTATGGCCCCGGCCCCTTTATTTCTTGTGTTCCTACTTAGACTTAGATGGACATCCCAGTAACAAATGGTGCATTGTAAAAAAGTCATGTTTCTCCCATATTGATCACCTCTCTCCATGTTATACCCAGAAAGGAAGGGAAATGGGGAGAATTCTCCCTGTATTTAGTACAGGGTAATGGACCTAAAACATTTTAAGCTTTTATTTCAGATGTAGGAATATAAACACACACTTGCCTCTCAAGTAATATGAATTAATTAGTTCCTGGGTTGCCTCTACTAGTTGGGAACTGCACTTATATTGACCGTGGTGCTGTTCTTTGGTTTTTGCTTTAGTTTTTTCTTGTTTAGCATGGGTTGTGGGTTGCATACTCAGCAGATCTCAGGACTAACTCCTGACTGTCCACTCAGGGATCACTTTGGGACTGGGGGACCTTACAGGGTGCCTGGGATATAACATGCAAGGCAAATGCCCTACCCGTTGTACCGTTTCTCCAGTTTTCTAGCAGTCACTATAAGAATCCAGTAATTGGGGTAGGACAGATAATGGAGCAAGTGGGGTGCTTGCCTTGTACTCTGCCAACCTGGAATGGGTCCCTGGTATCCCATATGGTCCTGAACCCCACCAAGAGTAATTCTTGAGCCCAGAGCCAGTAGTTACCCTGCACATTGCTAGGTGTGCCCCCCCTTCCCCCCAAAAAAGGGGAGAAAAAAATCCAGCTAGTTATACCTGGTGGCAGGAATTTATGAACTGACCATTTCACCTTATAGTCGCATACTTGATGCTTAAGTAGTATCAGTTGACTGGTTGAGTGACTAGTTGTTTAGTCTGGCTGTAAGTATATTATTTTTTTGTGGGGGGCTTTGGGGGTGTAGCACCCAGTGGTCTTCAGGGATTACTCCGGCTCTGGGCTCAGGAATCACTTCTGGCAGTGCTCTGGGAACCATTTGGAAGTCAAGGATTGACTCTGGATCAGCCCTGTGCAAGGCGATTGCTGTACTCTGTGCTCTCTCCAGCCCCTCTGAGTACTTTGGTGGGTGGATAAACAAAGAATCAGAGACTCTTTTGAGTTCATTTAAAGGAAATGTTCTTGGTGGTTCTGTTCTGAAGTTGGAGAAACTCAAGTTTACAGAGATGTAACTTTTGTTGTTGTTGCAGTCGGCAGATCATCCAACTCTGGAGAAAGTATTACAGGTACAGCCAGAAAAACTAGAGCTTATCATGGATGAAATGAAACAGATTCTCACTCCAATGGCCCAAAAGTAAGAAAGTTTACGTATTATTTTTTTAACAAATAGCATTTGAATGAGAAAAACATGAATTCTTGTTTATTGAAGAGGTGAGTAATTTTATCTAAATGTGGTCATGTATTTCAGTTGCATAGTAACAGTTAGAATGCCAGACCTGTGGCCTTGGCATTTGTACCATAGTAGAATTACTAAGGCGCAGACCTTGGGATCAGATTGCCTGCGTGTAATCCTTATGTCCACCTCAGTTACTTATCTGTGACCGTGGGCAGCTTAACCTTTCTGTGTTTTGGTTTCCATGTCTGTAAATCTGGGATAATAAAATGTAGAGACTTTAGAAGATTTAGCAGAGGTATAGTCCTTAGACACTCAGAGCAGTGTTTTGCCACAGAGGCAAATTGCTTTTACGATCTGCTTAGATATTCTTTGTCAGAATGTTTCTCAGTGATGGGCCATCTGGCCCTCCTAGAGCCCCTCAGGACGTTCCAAGGGGTCACAGGTGAAAAGCAATAAGAACTGGAGTCATGGCATAAGACTGGGGGACCAGATGGAGGGTCTCAGAGAGGAAGCAGAGTGGGAAGGGGGCCACAGTCAGAAAAAAGTTGAGGAGCAGTGCTCTGTACATATTGGGCTATGTGGGGCCTTGAACTTAAGCTTCCCCTGCTCACCGGAATGTGTCAAGTGCCGTTCCGTGAGGGGGCTTTTTATCAGTTAGGAGCGGTTGCAGTTGCTACCATTTTGAAGGTATCAGTTACTGGTTCTGCTAAAATTATTCAGTGAAATGGAGTTACTTTATAGTTTACTTGACAAAACAATAATTGTGGAAAAGAATAGGTCCATATCTGTTAAAAATTGTACATTATTGGGTTTTAAAAAAAGGATATCTTAAGACAGTGTGTTTTGAGAAAGTGATTTGCATTTTTTGATTAACAACTAGGTTGTATAGCTATTTCTGAAATTATTCTATAGTCTAAAAGTTGGACTTTCTGTTATGATTTGACTATTGCTGAAAGATACATCTTTTGGCAATTTGTGCTTGCTAAATCACATCATTCATTTTTCTCATCTTAAGACAACTGCTGTTATCTTTCTCTAATACCATAGCCAACGTTTTCTTTGTTTTCTATTTTTAGGGAAGCTGTGATTAAGCACTCGTTGGTGCACAAAGTATTCTTGGACTTTTTTACTTATGCAACCCCAAAGTTAAGATCAGTAAGTTTTTGTTTTTAGTTTTAAACCAAAACAGAAATAGCAATGCAAAAGTGTAAAACTCTGTTTTTTTGATGTGTATCGTCTTTTGGACATTTTTAAAGAGCTGTTCCTTTAGAGGAGATAATTTTTTAAACTTTCCTTATGTAGGCCAGCTAATTCTGTTTAGATTTTGGCAGAAAACAGAATTTTGCATTTTTTATTTTTCAATGTAGTACAGAATGTCTTCTAGCTAACTTAATCTGAAAACTAACAAGTAAAGAGGTAATCAGCATTCTGGTAGTTTGAAATGCTCCTGTGCCCGTACAGAAGAAAATTATATTGGTGATATGAGGTTAAGAGTGAGCACTTAAGTAAAGTAAATGTACCTTGAAAAATGGACCTTCTATATATGATAGAGATGAGAGACAGAGTGAAGGTAGATTGCACTGTACTTTATGTCGGTGACTAGAATACAAAGTGAAAATCCATGCAGTCCCCTGATCTTTGTTTGTTTTGTACCTAAAATTCATTGGCTGTTTATCCCCATTCTAATAATATAAAACTTAAAAAAAGAAATGACTTCTTTTTAGTCAATACATGAGGAAAGTTCGACCCTGAATAGCTTCTCACTTAAATTTGTGATTCTGTGACTATAGCAGCTATAGCTAATCTTTCGGGGACTTTTTTCTTCTTTTTCTATGAATCATAATATTTTCTATAAACCATACTAGGTCTACTTAGGGTATTTTTTTTCAGAGCTAAGGAAATGATTATTTGAATATAATCGAAGGAGGAATGTCTTTATCTTTTTAGTATTAAATTTGTTCTGTCATCAGGACAGAATTGAAAGGACTGAAACATGTCTTGGGGTTATTACAGAACAGATCTTTAAAAATCTTTTGGGGGTGATGGAAACATGTGAATTATATGAAACTTCAACTGGATGGCCTTGAAGAGCTTCGTGATTTAAGTATGTAAGATATACACGGTGTTCTCAAGATTTATCCCAGGATAGGATTGTAAGATAACTAAGGGTGAAATTCTTTCTTATTAATGAAAATGGTCATTCACCTTTCTCCTGTCAGAAAGTTTAAGTTCAGCTTAAGACTGAAATGGGGTCCTCTGGCCATAAGCTACCAGATTTGTTCATGTCCTGTATGTTGGACTTAAGAAATAGAAAAGAAATTACATATATTGAAAATGAAGACCTTTAAGAATAAGAGTAAGCTAAACTCCCTTTTAGGAAATTAGTGCTGAGTTTTACTGAAAGTTAGAGGGGCTAACTGAAATGTAACTATACAGATCACAGATTGCAGCGTCCTCATATGACAGACACATCTTAGTCTTTTTCACGAAGTCATTTAAGGGCTTGAGAGAGTACAGCAGGTAGAACACATGCCTTACACACGACCAGCCCTGGTTCCATCCCTGGCGCCTCATATGATCCCCTGGGCCAGGAGAGCCAGGAGTAAGCTTTGAGCATCACTGGGTTTGGCCCCAAAGAAATACATAAATGTATAAATGGATTGTTTAGAACAAGCATACTGTTGGACCAAGCATAGGGAAAACTTTTTTAAGGTGTTGTATTAGAAATGGGCTGCCAGCAGCATTTTCTGCTCTTACTGGAAAAAAATTGTTACAATGGTGCAATCTTTCTGGGTGCATATCTACCAAATTAAAAAATCAAATGGTTTATTACCTGTGCTGTCCTCCTCTTAATCCCTTTGCTTACTGAGTCCCAGTGGGCAGATTTTGTTGGGGATGGGTCTCAAACAATGTTCAGGAGGCCTGGGGTCCTTTCCCACTATTTCTCAGCAACTGGACTGATGGTTCAGTGCAAGGACCTAAGGATATGCTGCTTGCCTGGCCCTGGGATGCCGAAGATTCCTGGGCGATCCCAATCGTGCTTCGGGGCCTCCCGGACTGTATCCCGCAATACTCACCGTGTCATGCAAAGTGTGTGTATTATACCCTACGCAATCCCTCTGGCCTTTTAGGCATAAAGAAAGAAAAGTTAAGCCAAAGTCCGGACTCTCCTTGACTCTTTTTTTGTCGTTGCAGGAAATGATCGAAGCCATCCGAGAAGCAGTGATATACCTGGCACACACACATGATGGCGCCAGAGTAGCCATGCACTGCCTTTGGCATGGCACGCCCAAGGTAAGTGGATGTCAGCAAGGCTTCGCTTCGGATCCTCTGGTTTGGCCCTCTTGTACGTGAATAGCTTGATCCATGCCACACTGTCCCTTTTGATGCCGTAGGAACGGAATCTTCTTTAGAGCTCGTGTTTCAAGGTGTGTAAGAAGGTGCTTAGGGGCCAGAGAGATAGTATAATACGGTCAGGCTCTTGCCTTGCACACAGCTGAGCCAGTTTCAATCTCTGTCACCTCGTAATGGTTCTCTGAGTCTGCCAGGGGTGATACCTGATCACAGAGCCAGGAACAAGACCTGGAAGTTTGAATCTGAATCTTAAGATTCACACCTCACGACCCCACTCGTGTTAATAATATCTCTCCTCCATTTGTCCCTAGGACCCTTCTCTTCTGCCTCCGTCTTCCCTGCTCTGTTACCCCTTTGAGTAACCTTAGTTCTGTCGTACAAATCCGACACTGTGTTTTCAATGAACAGTATGGTGACATTTGGGTTGCTGCTCTTCTATTCACAAAAGTCACTCCTGGCAGAGCTCAGCCTGACACCAGCTGGCAGCGCACTGGCCACAGGTATAGTGACCACAGGTAGATAGTGTTTAGGGGCTGTGCAGTGCTCAGAGCCTTGCACGTGCTTGGCATGCACCAAACACTTGAGCCAGCTCTCTGACCCCGCTTACCAGGCTTAACCCCTGATGTTAGGTTGTAGAAGTTTTAATGCCTTCTTATGCTCTTTCATTCCCCAATTAATAATCTTACAGGGGAAGGTCGAAAGAGGAGATAGTGAACAGTTAACACATTTGCTCACCTGAGTGCTTTGTACTTTGAGGGAAAAGATGGCGACCATTTTAGTTACAGAAATTTAACTGAAAGGTTGATTTTTCCCTTCTAAAAATAGTTTTGGGCCTCTGAAGCAGTGCTCACAGCCGCTGTGCTTCTCGGCCCGACTGTGTAGGTGTGACAGTTCAGGGCACAGATTCACTCTGTGGAGCTTGAGGGCCATTCAGCACCAGGGAATCATACTCTGGGCCTTGATCATGCAAGATAAGACCTATGAGCTATAGTTCCTAAGCCTACGAGTGTTTTCTTGAGCCTCAAGCTTCTGCATTTCCAAGTCAGATGTGCTCTGTCTGCTTTTCAATTTAATTTCTATTCAGAAAATGCACATTAAATGACATCTCTGCTAGACATTTCTTGGAAAACAGTTGCAGCATCCAGAGAGGGATCTCCATTGCCCGCTATGACTCAAACCCAAGCCCAATCCCCCTGCCCCCAACACAAAAGGTAGAGGAGGGATCTCTTCCTTCTCACTATAAAGACAATAGTCTCACTAGGTTTGCCTTATCGTTTCATGATTTAATAGTCTGACTCAATGGATTCTCACATTAAGATTATATAACTCAGAGACCTTTTATATAGCCTTGTAGGTTTTGTTGGTTCTGTTACGTTATTTTCTCTAATGAAAAGTAAGTCAGTCTACCATTATGGAAAATTTTGACCTATGCAATACTCTACTACTAAATCTATAACTGTATAATTAAATTGATAGCAAAAATCTATAAAAGTTCATTGAGATTTTTCATTTTTAAGGACAGAAAAGTGATTGTGAAAACAATGAAGACTTATGTTGAAAAGGTAGCTAATGTAAGTATAATACAATCATTTCTTTTAATTGACAGTAAAATTCATGTCTGCTATAAAAGTTTGAAAAACAATTTCATCTTTTTTTGCATACCAATGTATTTTCATATATTATTAAATTTACACAAAATGAAATTTCCCCTCTAACATATGACAGTTATCCATTTTTGAAGCTGTTTGAAGCTTGTGTTTGTCCAGTCCTATTCTTATGGAAATTATTGTCTAGTTGAAGTGTGTGCACGTGTCTTTTAGCCTCTGAATAAGTATGGCAAAGTGCTGTCCAGAACTTTTTACTAAGTTATCCTTGCCACCAAAAACTGGAAAAAAAAATTTCCTTTTGAATAAAATTTGTGTGGTCAGGTAGTTTTGGAAATAGTTTATGTATCTTATTGTTTCTAAATTACTGATGATATTGATGGCAGTGCCAACAAAATCCAGTGAGTATTAGCATGGGTTCCGATAAATAGAAATGCTTGGACACAAACAAGTGCGTGAAGGTATACAAACCTGTATCTTCTCTAGGTGTGAAAGCTAGGAAAATAATATAAAATCTCCCAGAAGTCAGCTGACTTTCCTGGAACAAAATGAAATAATAGACTTTTTAGGGAGTTGTTTCCAGACTTTGAGAATATGTGATTCATAGCTTGCCAGTAAGTAAATCTTTTGTATCACCTTTTAATTTGAATATATTAGAAATGAGTTTATAAAAAGAACGCTAATAATACTCCTAATAGAAAGTTCTTGAGGGTGTGATAATAAAAAATATTATGTAATTAAGTTATTTTAAATTTGTAGTTTAGACCAACAGCAATATTTTGAGAACCTAATTCCTTCAGCAGTTTGTGATAGTAGCAAAAGTCAACAATATACTGTCTTTCGTCTCAAGGAATTGCTACTAAAAAGAGGGGGGTATGCTGATACAAGCTATGGATTTAATTTGTGGGCTAATTAGAAGCATTGAATTTCTAAATATTGGGGGCATCTTGACATATTCTTAAATGTTTCCATTTCGTAAAATCTCCTAAGTCTTGGGGAGACAGCGTGGAGAAATAGAGTTTGGGCTTTGCCTGTGTGAGACCCTGAGTTCAGTACAAGGGACTGCATGGCTCCCAGGACCCCAGGACTGAGCAACAGACCCTCAAGGCTGTACATGTCAGAAATCACTGTGAGTGATCCCGAGCATTGCTGGCGAGGTTGGGGACCAGATGTGGCTCAGCTGTAGGGCACTTGCCTTGGATGTATGTTGCCCAGGGTCCACCAGAATACCACAAAACATACACGTGTAACAGTCGGAGTCGCTTCCAAGTTCATGTTCACTCAGTTTTGTGCTTATTCACACGTGTGCGTGCGTACCCATCTATGCTTTACTACATGGAAATCTGTGAATTTTCATGAATCTGTGAATTTCAGGGGCAATTTTATTTAGACATACACATCTGTTTATGTCTTATTAATGACCAGAATCTTTCATTTTATGACTGTCCCAGAATTGACTTAGCCAGTTTCTACTCTTAGATACTTGGGTAGTTTCTAGTGTTTGTTCATTTCAGTTTGCGCCTCTTTGTGTATTTGTGAAAGCATCACTATGATATAATTCTAAGACTGAAAATCGCTAGAACAAGAAGTTACTTCACAAACAGGAAGCATTTTTATAGGTAATGTCAGTTGCCCTTTAAAGAAGTTGAACCACTTTACAGTCTCACCAACAGCGTGAAAAAGTGTGCCTACTTTTCCTCAAACCTTTGCTGAATTGGAGTATTTCTTATCAAGTGTTTTTTACTTTTGGGTAGATTAAATGTAATACCTTGTTATTCTAAATATGGATTATTTCATATGATGATACCCATTTATATGATTTCTGAACTGATTCTACATAGTCTTCATTTTTTAGCCAACTGTTGTTTTTTATCTGAGATTTTTGGTCGTTAATTTTTTCCATATTGTCTTTTTGAGCTTGTATTCAGCAATTTACTTCTTACCAATTAAAGCCTATAAGATTCAACAGACTTCACTATGAATGTTAGCTGTTACAAAAAAATTAAATCTTCCCTCACAGTTAAAAAAAATGTATGTCCTGAAATATAAAGACTTTGATGCCACAAGTTCAGAAACTACAATTGCTTTTTTTAAAAAAAGTTTACAGTAGATATGAGTTTCTTAAATCATATGACAAGGGCCTGAGAGAGAATACTGTGGGCAGGGTGCCCACCTGGCATGCTGCCGACCTGGGTTTGATCCCCAGGACTGTAGATGGTTCCCCAAGCCCTGCCAGGCATGATGCCTTAGCACAGCAAGGAGTAGGCGCTGAGTACAGGCAGGTGTGACCCCAAAACAAAATCATAGGAACACTGTTAGCCTCATGGGAATGGTTATTTTAAAAGGCTACTGTTGTGGAAGTCACAGTGTATAATTTGTAATCTTATATTGCTCTCCATCTTCAAAGCCTTCATTTAAATCTGATTTTCATATTCTGTATAAATATATCACTGTAGTTTATATTTTTCTTTCTGTGATGCTGGGGCTCAAACCAGGGCGTCTTGGTTTTGACTCGTGTGGTTTACCACTGAATTACATCCCTGGTCCCTTTTTAATATTTTTTTTTCTTTCATTTTGGGTCACACCCGGCGATGCTCAGGGGTTACTCCTGGTTCTGCAGTCAGGAATCACTCCTGGCGGTGCTCAGGGGACCATATGGGATGCTGGGATTCGAACCCGGGTCAGCCGAATGCAGGGCACATGCCCTACCCGCTGTGCTATTGCTCCAGCCCCATCCCTTTTTAACATTTACTTAGGATCGTTTTGGAAGAAATCAGATCATTTGGAAAAGAAATTGAGAAATGACTTAGGGTTCTTCAACTATATACAAAAGAAAGTGAAAATGACATATACTGCAAAGATGATTATTAGAGATTATTATAGAATATATATAATTTTGTGCCCATATATTGTGTAATATGTTGTGTATGTACAGTTGCATTTATACAATTTTTCATAATTCGAATGCGATATAGTTTTCTTGCGCTCTACATAAATTTTTGCTTTGGGGCCACACCCAGCTGTGCTCAGGGCTTTCTCCTGGCTTTGGACTACGGGATCGAACCTGAGTTGGCTGCAGGCAAGACCAACACCTTTCGGGCAGGTCTCCCTCTCACTCGCCCTTGTTCTACATAAAATGTTGTGTTTTCTGCAGGCTTTTACTTTGAATTTTTTTGTTTGATTTTCAGGGAGCCCTTCATAAGTAGGATAACGGGATGGTTTGTGAATTTTTGGTCTTTGGGCCACTCTTAGCTGCGCTTGGGGGCTCTGTAGGGTCAGGGATTAAACCCAGAGCTCCCCCAGGCACAGCATAGAGAGCCTGCCCTCCCGTTCTCCCACCTCATCTCCGCCCCTTGTTCTGGCTTTTGGATCAGGGGCTACAGCAGGCGGTGATCAAAGGATCAGTTATTCCTGGTTTTGTGTGGGGACCACGCAGTGACGGGATTCGAACACAGGTGTTCTGTGTGCTCAGCTCATTGAGCTATCACTTGGACTCACCGACTGGCCTGCCCTCCCTCCCTTCCTCCCTCCCTTCCTTCCTTCCTATTTAAAAGAAGGGTATTATATTCTGGTTAGTTTTTGGGTTTTTTTTTTTTTTAGTTTACTGTTTGGTGTTGAAGATTTTGCTTTTGTTGATTCTTTAACCTAGAATAAAGTTAACCAGGTCTTGATAGGAGAAGATGAGAGGAGTACGTTCCTTTCAATGGCTTCTCTCTCTGTTATTTATATTGTGTTGGACAAGTTGTCATTGTTGGTTACATGATAAAGTGGTTCCATGAGAGGAACAAAAGGGAGCCCGTATTACTGTTTTTAACCTTTGTCAACTTCCAATTCTACAGGGACAGTACTCCCATCTGGTTTTACTGGCGGCCTTTGATTGTATCGATGATACTAAGCTTGTGAAGCAGATAATCATATCAGTAAGTAATTCTGGTGGTCGTGAATTTGAGTCAGATTGTTGTGTGTAAATTTGAGTTTGCTTGGCTTAGAAGTAGACTTTCAGTGTATTGTTACTTTCTGTTGCCTGAATTAAATACATTATGGGGTTTACTTGATTCATATGTGAGCTGTGAACTTGTTACTTGATATTAAAATGTTTTAAATATTAAAAGCCCAGTTAAGATGGAATGCCTTTGTCTAGAACATGTCACATATTAAGTGAAAAGTTAGCAATGTGATGTTTACATTTGATCAGGCTTACAGAGTCATTCTTTAATTATTGAGAAATTCATATCTAGGTAGAGGAGATCGATGATCTTTTTTCTTCTCTCCTTCCTTTCGGAGAAACTACCTTGGCACAGTTACCAGCTTATCAATCAATACATCTGCCTTGGACTGTGCTGAAGAAGACAGATTGATAAAACTCAATTGTGATACTTAGAGCTTTCATGATAACTTTTTATAGAATAAGATATAAAATAATTGGTAAAATTAGAAGGCCAGCTTCCTATTCACTTTTGAGCAATTCCTTTCAGCCTCCTGTAGTGACCGTGAAATGGTCATTGAATGCAGTTAATGTAACCTTAAGTTTGCGGTCAGTAAGAACATAGAGCCTCTCCTCAAAGTATTTGCTTCCTTCTCCGATGCTCGTCCCTTTTTCATAGCTCTGATTCTGTGATCCTCTCTTCCCTTCTTTAACTATACAGTGTCCAGATGGCGTTGGCTGTACGACAGGCTGCAGGGGCAGGGAGAAAAAACATCTGGGGGCAGTGACTAAACTTGGAAATGGTTTATAAACCACATGTTCTGCATGCACACCAGTGAATTATCTGAAAATGACACAAAACTCAGTGTTTGAATCACATGGAACCCCTGGAGAAATTTTAGTGACAAAATATACTCTGACACCGTCCCCAGGGATGAATGCTCAGAAAGAGAATTTACCTGTTGTCTTATGGTGGTGCTGTGGCTCTTTTTGTAGCCTGTCTGAACTAGTTGAGCCAATGCATAAAGGAAATATATTGGCTTGTAGAGGGAAAGGAGATTTTTTTTTTTCCCGTAGATGCCAGTTGTAGGTCCCAGTGTGTGAGAATTTCTCAGGCCCTTGTCATTTTCCAGTTTTTTTACTCTTGGCCGATTGTGATGACTTTTAAGATTGTGATGACTTTCTTTAGGGTGGGATTGTGGGAAGAATCAAGTTGGCAAGGCTTTTGTGTCACAACTGAGTGTTTTGACATCTGCCTTGTGACTTTATTACCCTTTTGACTAATCAATAATGATTGTTTTCATCGTGGTGACAGAGATGTGAGAGACCATAGACTGGTTAATGAATAAAGTTGTTTCATGGGAATGGAGATAGGCTGAGCTATTGAAAATTTCCTTTTGTTTCATATTTTCCTGACAACTCAAATTTGCATGACTGTTGCCCATGGATTTCCAGAGAAACCGAACTTCCTTTAGAATTTGTCACAAGCGTCTGATAGATTAATTTTTTCCCAGAGCCTTGCCCTCTTACAATCACCAATGAAATAGTTTTCAATTCCTTGTTCCTCTCAGTTTGATCCTCACAACTATTTTACCCACATACCTAATGACTTCCTCATACTTTGGCCTACTTGGAGAATGGCCTGGCTTGCTGATCTCTTTCCTCTATATGACCAATGTTAAACACATTCTTTGTATTATTAAGCTCTGACCAGAGATGAAATTCCGGAATGCTAATTGCTCTTGCCTTCTTGAAGAATGTGGCACTTTTTGAAAATAACCAGGAAAGCTTAGTGTCACTAGGCATTTCAGGCTTAATGAAATGTCAGGTTGAAATCACAGCCTGGTCAGCTGAGCCCTTGCATTTCAAAATGAACACTCCTTGTTTCCCACCTACTCCGCTATCTGAAGTAAACAAAAATTGATCTGTTTTTAAAAGTTGTTCCTTTTAACCCTGGAACTGTTGCTATATTACAGCTGCTTTGACAGCAATGTTTCTCTGATAAGGAAATGAGTGTATTGGCCAGTTGCTGTTTGAGGCTGAATAAATATTGATGCATTCTTTAAAATACATTATCTCTTAAGTATACAGGAAGGCATAAAGCATAGTAAAATGAACATCCAACTTCTCATCATCTGACAGGAGAATAAAATTTGACAAATGCAATGAAAGTTTAGGCCATTTGAATACCTGTTCTTGTCCCAAAACCTTAGGATTACTTTCATATTTATTATTTGTATGCATTTTTCGTACCTGTTCACTCTGAAGGTGTACATTATAGTAATTAGCCTGTTTACAAAATCTTTATACATGGTCTAAGTAATGTCCTTTGTTATTGTTTTCTCCTGAAACTTGGTGGGTTATTCGGCAGAGCCTGGCAAGCTCCCCGTGACGTATTCGATATGCCAGACACAGTAACAACAAAGTCTCCAATGGAGACGTTACTGGGCCCGCTCGAGCAAATCGATGAACAACGGGAGGGCCTTTACCTTTTTTACCTTTTATTATTATTTTGACGCATTGTACCACTTAGCAGGCCTATTTTTTTTTTAAATTTTATTTAAACACCGTGGTTTACTAAGTTGTTAATACAGCTGTTGTTTTGGGCATTCAGTGTTGCAGCACCATTCTCTCTACTTATATGACCTTCCCTCCGCCATTTTAGGGAAAAGCAGGCCTTTTTTAAAAATGAAAGGCCATGTAATAGAGACTTTGCGGGCTATATATATGGCTGTTGTCACCTATTTTTGTTTGTTTTATTACAGTCTTTTAAAGTATAACGATCAGGTCAGAGGGGTGGTCCAGCAGGTAGAGCTTTTGCCTTGCATGTGGCCAGCCTGGGTCTGATCCCCTCCACCTCCTGTGGTCCCCTGAGCCTGCCAAGAGTGATTGCTGAGCGTGGTCAGGAGTGACCCTGAACACTACCAGGTGTGGCCCCAAAACTGAAATCAGTGAGAAAAAAATAGATCTAAATCCCTTTTTAAAGTGGACCGCACCTACAGATGAGATTTGGCCAGTGGGCCATGATTTGCTGACATCAATTCTGAATCCTTTGTTTTTCCAGCGTTCTGTTAAAGTGAATATGGTGTGCTCTTCCAAATAGTTTTATGAGCATCCTCGTGTATTTTCTTCTTCATTTACGACATTTACTTCGCAGACTCCCTGGGTTGCTCCGTATGATGCACTTCAGTTGACATAGTCGAGCGTCTGTATTTCCCACACAGCCACTACAAAAACCGATGCCTATTAAATGCTCTTTAAAAAATAGCCCAGAACGCCTAGTATTACTAAGCCCTCTGTGCAGGGAAACTGGATTTCCTAAAATGTCAGGTCGGAATTTCAGCCTCTTAAATGCACTCTACCTTTCCACTAACGTCACTCTCCGTGGAGTAGTCTGAGCTCTCCCAGGTGAGTGTCCTCTCAGCTCCACTAGCTTTTGTCTTTGCCACCCATTCATTTTGCAGTTAATCCTGATTAACTAGAGGAACAAACTCGGGAACATTCGTTGGCCCGGCAGGGAGATGGGAGGGAGCCCTGGGGACCAAGGCAGAATCGTGCTCTATACCGAAGCAGCTGCCACTCACCTTCCGCTTCTGGGAAATGTGATCTCCATGGGGATAGGTCTTCCCCCTTTTTCATTTTAATCGCACTCAAGTACACTTAACATAAGATTTGCCACTTAGATTTTTTAAGTGTATCGGTCAATGATTTTAAATAGACACACGTTGTTGTGCGGCCAGTCGCCAGAATTATTATTATTATTATTTTTTTATCTTGTACACACAGATCCTACATGTTGAATGGCAGCGTTCAGGTATGTGGAGGACCTCCACCAAAAGTAAAATTACTGTGTTTCTAAAACAAAACACTGAAGGGGACAAAATGGTGGATCTTGCATAAAGATTAATGTGCTTGCCTTTCACGCAACCAGCTCCGGTTGGTTTGATCCCTGGCATTGCTAATGGTTCCTTGAGCACTGCCAGGAGTGATCCCTGAGTACAGAGCCAAGAAGAAGCCTTGTGCCCTCTTGGGTGTGGCTGGAAAAATAAAAAATAAATGTGAAACAAAAACACTTGAGAGGATTGCCATCACTGATACGTAATCTGACATCCTCCTAATTATAACCTATTAATTAAATTCTCTTATTTCTAGTTTTTACTTTGTGGCCAGGGCTGGAGCGATAACACGGGTAGGGTGTTTGCCTTGCACACGGCCAGCCCGGGTTCGATTCCTCCATCCCTCTCGGAGAGCCCAGCAAGCTACTGAGAGTATCCCTCCCGCGTGGTAGAGCCTGGCAAACTCCCCGTGGCGTATTCGATATGCCAGCAACAATAACAAGTCTCAGGATGGAGACGTTACTGGTGCCCACTCGAACAAATCAATAAACAACGGGAGGACAGTGCTACAGTGCTCCTTTGTGCCAAGTTTCCCTTGCCTCTCCTTGACTTTCGCCCTTTCTAGCGAAGGCCGGTCATCATTTTCTCTTCTATTTGACTGCCTGCTCTCGTCATTTCACTTAAAGTCAGAGTTTCCAAGAACTGTACCATACATAGGCTGAGTTCTCCATACCACGTGTTGCTTTTGACAGATCTTCCTCAGAGCGAAAATGCCCGCACATTCTCTAACCGTGCTCAAAGTTTGCACTTTTTGACCTTCACCTTCCTTGTAAAAGAGAGTCACAGACCGAGGTTCTGAGAATCTCACAGTGGTCATCCGGTCAGACAGACCCTCAGAGCTCTTCCCTCTGTCCTCGCTTCATATGCCTGCATGGGACCCTAAGAAAGAGAATGAAAGCAAATGAACTTTGCTCTTCTTTTTTTTTTTTTTTGGCTGTAATTTTTTTCTCCGAGTTAATTCTTCTGTGCAGGGGAGGTAAACTGAAAATATTTAAAACTGAACCTTTATTGTTGATTTCTCCAACAAGAGAAAGAAGCCAAATGCATGACTCCCACCTCCTCTATTTAATATCCTAGGTTTCAGTGCTGTATACTCAGGGCTAAGTCTTTAGTATTAAATAATTCCCTTGTAACTGTTTACAGTTCAAACTTTCTGACTTGTTCTTCATATTGGCCTATGGGTCAGACAGGTGTATGACTTTTTTTTTTATCCATAAGGGCATTTATGATAGTGAGGTGAAAGGATTTTTCAGGGGTTATGTAGATTGTACTTAAAGACCAAGTTCAACACAAAAATCAACTGTACTGCAACTTCTTAATGTTATTTTTACACATTACACAATTGTTAAGTATTCTTTTGCACCCAAACTGTTTTGTTTTTTCAGAAGTACATATTTTTAATGACAAAGGTGACCTAAAATAAGGATGCATTGAGGGAGAATTAAATGCTCTCTTTCTCATACACATACACACACACACACACACACACAAAGTTTTATGTGACTATAAACATTAACTATCAGTTCTTTAGTTTGCCATTCACACTTCAGGTAACCTGCTCCTCATGGATTATTTCTTTATTCTTTGGTTATTCAGCAAGTTTGCTTATTTATTTATTTACAGTTACAAAACCTTCATGTTTGAGTTTCAGTCATAAATGATCGAGCACCCATCCCTCTACCAGTGTACATTTTCCACCACCAATGTCCCCAGTGTCCCCCCCCCCCACCCCTGCCTCTATGGCAGACAGTTCTTTTGGAAACTTTTTAAACGAGCATAAATTTCACTGACAAATTCCACGATTACAGACTGAAAGGCAGAATAGTTCTATGAGTCTGAGAATTGGTCTTTGGTATTTGTAGATGGATTTTATGTATTGTAGAAATCCTAGTTTCTTATGTTAAGGTTAAACCATTTCTATCCAAAAGCCATATGCATTGAACTAATCCTTAAAGTATGAAAACCATGGAAAATGTTATGTACATAAGAAATACATTTCTGGCTTCATACACTTCTTTTTAAGAAAAAAAATTCAGAAAGGAGACTTTTATAGTTCTTCATTAACACTTTTTTTTTTTTTAAAGATACAGATGTACACTGGTAGAGGGATGGGTGTTCGATCATTTATGACAAACTCAAACATGAAAGTTTTATAACTGTAAATAAATAAACAAGCAAACTTGCTGAATAACCAAAGAATAAAGAAATAATCCATGAGGAGCAGGTTACCTGAAGTGTGAATGGCAAAATAAAGAATTGATAGTTAAAAAAAAAATCCATGCTGGATTTTTTTTTAATAACAACAAAATTGTGGGTATTTATTGTTTTAATTTTTTTTTTATTTGCTTTTTGGGTCACACCCAGCAATGCACAGGGGTTACTCCTGGCTCTGCACTCAGGAATCACCCCTGGCGGTGCTCAGGGGACCATATGGGATGCTGGGAATCGAACCCGGGTTGGCCGCGTGCAAGGCAAACGCCCTACCCGCTGTGCTATCGCTCCAGCCCTATGGGTATTTATTTTTTATGGAGTTAGAAATTGACCCTAGGTATATGCTTCATCTGTTTTTTATTTTGATGAAAACTTAACCACATATTTTACTTAGTTCTAATTAGAAGAAACACAAACACTTGTATAGAAAATGAGGAAAACTCAGTATTTTTAAGACAAATATGGCGTGTGGGAATCTGAAGTATTGACCTTAGAGTTAAGAATTCTTCTGTGTTGTGATCTCACAGTTGTAATTAGTTTAATGTAGCTTGATTCCTTGCACTTAAGTAATTCCTTGTTTAAAATTATTGTGTAATAGGCATGTAAGAGAGGAGCAGGTCTGAGTGTATCATGCCGTAGAGAGTGCCTTTTGTTCAGAAGAGGTTCGTGTTTTCTTTGAAAGAGACTAGACTCAGTGTTAGGGTTCCAGACTAGTGGAACGCTGCCAGTGACATTATATCCTCCAGTTTGTCACCTCTTCTTTCTGGTTCCTCACCTGGAGATTAAGGCAGAAATTCTTGCTGTCCCTACGGCTTCTTCAGAGCTCTAGTGCACAAACACACTTGGCACCCAATTTCTATTAGGTTTATTAGAAGAAATAGGAACAGTAGAGAGCACAAAAATGAATGTGGTGCTTCTATTAGGCATTCTCCATTAAGAATAAAGAATCCCACTGTCCCCCTTCCCCCGCAGGAATGAACCACGGGGACTTGGTGGCTACCACTGTAGCCACCCTGACTCCAGGAACAAAACTCGGATTTACATGGGAGCTAGTTGGGGTGGGGATGACATTGCCGTCATTTCTCAAGTCCAGGCATCTTAGAAAAGTAACCTTTGGGGCAAGTTGGGAAAGGCTCCCCAGGGTGACTATTTGTGATTGCTCCAGGGAGGCCTTCCGTCTGGGCCTGCTTTAGCTGTCAAACCCAGGGCTCCCTACGCAGAGTCCCATGAGCCAACCTCCTGACTGTTGCCCTCATTTTGCCTTCAGTACTTAAACTACTTCCATGAATAAGCAACGTAACTGTCCAAGCCTTCATCTCCTCATTCTGTCATTTAACTCTCCTCAAGAGTCGCTTTCTTGCCCGCTTGCACTTCTGCAGAAATTCTGGTGATGCTGATGGTACATTTCAGTGCAGCTGCCGGTGAACTGTCATCTGCTCAGTGACCCCAGCAGTCAGTGGCCCTAGGCATAGTTTCCTCCGTGAATAAAGATACCTCCCTTCTTTTAAATATATTTCATAAATCTTGGGCTCCATCAGTTAAATTCAGATGGATCGTTCAGTCCTGTCAGAGGCTCAGTTGTGTATTGCAAGCATAGTTTTGTCCTTTAGAGGGGGCGGTTTCAAAACCGATTAACTCCACATTTTCTCTGGGCTGGGAAAGTCGAGTTTGTGCCACACTTAGCTCTGTGTCGGGTCGGGGGGACCATGTGGAGCCAGGATTGGCCCTATGCAAGGCCGGAGCCTTAACCGCCCTGTACTATCATCCCTGGGGCCCCCAAATCCACATTTCTATGAACTACTTGGCGGGTAGGACAGGGCAACACAGTTTCCTCTTTACCACTTAGATTCGGCATGTCCTTTATTTTAAGCACTTATACACATTTTCTGTTTCTGATTTTTCAGGAAATCATCAATTCTTTGTCTAACATAGTCAATGACAAATACGGAAGGAAGGTTCTGTTGTATTTACTAAGTCCCAGAGATCCTGCACATATAGTGCGAGAAATCATTGCAGTTCTGCAGATGGGAGATGGAAACGCACACAGGTAAGAAAAGGGAAAGAGGAATGGCTTGAACCTTTTTTTTTTTTTTTAAAGAATGATTCGAATCCTTTTTTTTTTTTTAACTCGGCTCTGGTTAATTAAGTGGCACCTGCTTTTGGAAACCTACCAAGGGACATATCCTCTTGTTCTTCTTTTCTGTTTAAATTCAGTACCATTTTAAGTGTGTAGTTTTCAGATTCTTTATGGTTTTTTTTTTTTTTTTTTTTTTTTTTTTTTTACTTTTTGGGTCACACCCAGCGATGCACAGGGGTTACTCCTGGCTCTGCACTCAGGAATTACCCCTGGCGGTACTCAGGGGACCATATGGGATGGTGGGAATCGAACCCGGGTTGGCTGCATGCAAGGCAAACGCCCTACCCACCATGCTATTGTTCCAGCCCCAGACTCTTCATGTTTTTATCTTAGATATTGGGCTGGAAAACTATTCACTACTATTTTGCATTTTTCTTTTGTTCTACATAAACCTTCCCTTCCTGAGTTAGTTTCTGTTCTATGCCAGACACTGCAGATCCTCGGGTCCCATACAAAGACGGACACGCCACCCTCACAGTGCTCCTCATGTCTGTGCTCAGTAGGAGCCCGTTAGAGTTGGCCGCGATGTAGCCGTGAGAGGTTTCTGTGAGAAGATCTCCGTGTTTCCCCCGACATCTGACTTAATCCCTTCTCCGACTTCCTCCAACAGTAAGAAGGATACAGAGATTCGCAGGCGGGAGCTCCTGGAATCCGTTTCTCCAGCTTTGCTGATCTACCTGCAAGAACACGCCCAGGAGATGGTGCTAGATAAATCGGCCTGTGTGTTGGTGTCTGATATTTTGGGCACTGCCACTGGCGACGTTCAGCCGGCCATGAAGGCCATCGCCGGCTTGGCAGCAGCAGAACTGCATCCTGGTGGCAAGGATGGAGAGGTAACGTGCTATTTTCAGACAGGCACAAACGCTGCCGTGGCCGCAAAGGCGCCATTTATGCAGGACGTTGCTGTAAGGAGAACTTGAGTGATGTCGACCTCCCACTCGGTGCCAGAACAGCTGAATTGCGAATTCACTGTGCAGTGCTAGAACAACATGGTCTTTCTCAGACACTTGCAGTTGCTCCATATTTCCTGCAGAGTGAAAACAAAATCCTCTTAATGCGAGACTCTCTGTTGTTCGTGACTGACCCCGTGCTTCCTCTGCTCCATACTCTCATTTGCTGTGGATTTTTGCACCTCTCTGCATTTGTGTTTGCTGCTTCTCTCCGTCTCTCTCTCCTGTGGACTACGCCTCTGTTTCCCTTTATTCTCTCTGAAAAGCCTTACTCGTCCTTCTTTGTCTGCAGAATCTTCCTCCATGAAGTTCTTTCTTTTTTTTTTTTTTTTTGACTTTTTGAGTCACACCTGGCGATGCCCAGGGGTTACTCCTGGCTCTGCGCTCAGGAATTACTCCTGGCGGTGCTCGGGGGACCATATGGGATGCTGGGAATCGAACCCGGGTTGCCCACGTGCAAGGCAAACGCCCTACCCGCTGTGCTATTGCTCCAGGCCCCGAAGTCCTTTCTTAATCCCTTTAATTCCCTTATTAAAGTGTCTGTTTTTTCCGATAGCGCGTACTTTTATTTTGGGACCGTTTGGCTTTTCATCCTAAGTTACTGATTCGTGCACATGTGCGCTAGGTTGCCGGGATCAACATTACTCCCCCTCCCCTGTGTTTCAATGTAAATACGTTTTTACACAAGTAATATTTAATTTTGTACTGAGGTACGAAATTGTATAACAACAGAGCGAGGCTATCCTAGGAAATATTCCCTGTGGCTGTGGCCATAAGCTCAGCTGAGGTCTTAAGGACTAGTAGCTCAGGGGAGAGGGGTAAAAAGATTCTCGGTGGAGGGGGAAGCATGGGCAGCAGGTTGACAGAAAGAAGTGGTCTGACCGGTGGGAGGACAAAAAGCCGGCGAAGAGGGCAGAGTAGAGGGAAGGGAAAGGCAGAAGCCACGCAGGGTCTTGACTCCCACACACCGTTGTCAAGTTTCGAGGACCAGATGTCTAGGGAGCTGCCTGGTTTCCGCAGGGGGGGAATAGGGAAGGAGGCCATGGGTCTCTGGAACGTCACTTCCCTTCTAGAGTAAGTCATATGAACCAGCCAGGCAGATGCTTGCATGATCAAGGTCTTCTCTGCAAGTGGACTGAGCCCTTTGTCTCCTGCTCAGCCAGGACAGCAGAGCTTAGATTCTTTAGGAATAATTGATGGGACCCTTGAAAAAGATTGAATTGAAAATTTGCGTGTTGCATGGCTTCCTCATCAAGTGGCACTTTTTTTTTCTTTAATTTTTATTAGTGAAACACCACGAGGTACAGTTGTAGACTTACACATTTTTGTGCTTGGGTTTCAATTATACAGTGATCAAATACCCATCCCTCCACCGGTGCCCATTTCCCATCACCAATGATCCCAGATCCCTCCCACCCCACCCCCATCCCACCATGCCTCTGTGGTAGGGCATTCCTCCTTGTTCTCTCTCTCTCCTTTTGGGTGTTGTGGTCTGCAAAAGAGGAATTGAGTGGCAGTCATGTTCAGTCCATAGTCTACTTTCAACATGCATCTCCCCTCCTGGGAGGATCCTCCAAACACCTTTCATTTGGTGTTCCCTTCTCCATCTGAGCTGCCCTTCAAGTGGTACTTTCTTAATGTGTCCCACCTATGTAGAAGTATAAGTTTTGAGTGTCTGCTCTAGTGTCCTGACCCAGCTGTTTACATGTTCCTCACAGTCTAGTCAGTGTTTAGCCTAATCTTCAGAGCATTATGGTCGTGGTCTTCAAATGGGAACTGGGAAAGCTGAGCCCGAATCGTTTCTCAGCGGTTGTGTGATCTTGAATACCCATTCACGTTCTAGTCTGGTAGGTAGAAATATCTCTGCTCCCTCCCTCCAGAAAACACTAATCTACTGAGCACTTCAAGCTCGTTGGATCTTTGAATGCTTTCCAACCTGTAGATGATGACGTAGGAAAATTGTAGGGCACGGCATGGACAAAGAAATTCTTTTACATTTCATTTTGAAATGTACGTTTTCAGTGGGAACCTTATGACAGCACAGACTGGAGGGCCCCTAGGACGGTGTCGGAGGGGAGCAGATGCTCTGGCAGAGAACGTGATGTTGGAACGTCATGCAGGAAACCCTACCATTAACATTGCTGTAAACCGTAGTGCCTGTTTTTTTTTTTTTTTAAGGGCCTGGGCAAGTATAGGTAACTGAGTTTGGTCCCTGACTCTGCGTGCAGTTCCCTGAGCTGATCGCCAGGAATAATGCCTGAGCACTGCCTTGTGCCACCCACCAACCCCAGAAAGGAATGAAAACGATTCTCTTCTTGATCTCTCGTAGCTTCACGTTGCAGAACATCCTGCAGGGCACTTGGTCCTGAAGTGGTTAATCGAACAAGATAAGAAGATGAAGGAACAAGGAAAAGAAGGTAGGTTGTGAAGTCTGAAGTTCTTTCTAGCTTACGTGGCGTTCTGTCCGCCTCCGCTTTCACCTTGCTTCTTTCCTCCTTCAGACTTCTGGTCCCACTAGCGGGTGCCCAGAAATGCTGCTTTATCCTACCGTTTTGTTCCTTTTGAGTAGCAAGAGCTTCAACTTAAGGAGACAGTATTTTCCTAGTTTTTGAAGAAAGGATAAATAAAAAATCATTCACGTGAGATCATTTTTAATTGGTGCCTATTTGGCATTAAAATACATGTGACAGATCAGAGAGACAGTGTGTACTGTGGGTTAAAGAATCGGCCTGGCGTGTGGCTGACCCAGCTTTGGTCTCTGGCACCGTAGGCTCTTCTAAGCCCTACCGGGAGTGATACCCGAGCACCAAGCCAAGAGTAAGCTCTGAGCAGTACCAGATGTGGCCCAGAAAACAGATGAAATAACAGACAAACGGCAATCCCGTCTTTGGCTCTTACTGGCTTTCCTAGCAATGCTCAGGACCAGCTGTGGGTACCAGAATCAAACCGAAACTGACCGAGTGCAAGGTGGACACCTAATCCCCTGCTCTATCTTTTCCTGGCCCTGGGCGATCACTTCCTGCTCTACCTCCAAGAATAGTGACTCGGGCCTATTTTTTTTTATTGTAATTTTTTTCCTAGAAGACAAAGATTGTAATTTTGAAGAAAAAAATATATTGAATCATATATTATTATTAAAAAGTTGATACATAATTGAGTTTGGCTTTTGTCAATAAAGTTATCTAGCTTACTTGTAAAATCCAAGAAATTTTCTAGTGACTTTTTCCCTCAATTAAAAGGCACAGACAGGGGCTGGAATTATAAAACAGTGGATCGGGCATTTATTTGCCTTGCATGCATCTTGCCTGAATTTGATCTCTGGCAGACTATATGGTCTCCTGAGCACCTCCAGGAGTAGTTCCTGGATGCAAAGGTAGAAGTAACCCCTGAGAATCACCAGGTGTGGCCAAAGAAACTTTTTTAAAATATATGATACTAAAATAAAACGCATGGCAGTCCTAAATTGTCTCTTCGAGCCTGAAGTGTTACTCATTTTTATTAGTCCCGAATGAGTGTAGATAGCTCGTAAGAGTTCAGATTATGTGGAAATTCTTCCTTTGTCAAATTAGCTACACTTACAATGATAGTGAATACACTAATATGACAAGACCTTAGGAATCAGATGTACTATACTAGCAGATGATGAACAATTTTTTTTTTGATGGACTCATTTCTTTCATTTTCTGTTCTTTTTTTAATTTTTATTTATTTATTTTATTAAATAGTATAGAGAAAGGCAAACATGACCAAGTGAGTGTCACAGAAGAATTCACTGTTTTTCTTGAGCATAACTTAGGGTTTGGATCAAAGTTAAAAAAATAATATTTTTAAAACATAGGAACCTTTTAGTATTAAAGGAACTTGAGTGAGAACTCGGTTTTTGCTTTCATTTTGTTACTAAAATACATTTGCAAGACTGGGAAGAAAGCATAGTGGACTGAGACCATTCTCTGATCTCCGTCACCACCTGTATAGTTCTCCCCTCCCAAGCACAGAGCCAGGAGTAGCCCTTACGCGCTATTGGGTGTGTCCCAAAAAACAAAAGAAGAATATATGCGTAAAATATGTAGCTCAGCTAGAGTGCGTGCTTTCTCTGTCTGGAACTTACGGTTTGATTCCTAGCATTGTAGCACTGTCCTCCCGTTGTTCATCGATTTGCTCGAGCGGGCCCGGTAATGTCTCCATTGTGAGACTTGTTAACTGTTTTTGGCATATCAAATACGTCACGGGGAGCTTGCCAGGCTCTGCCATGCGGGCGAGATACTCTCAGTAGCTTGCTGGGCTCTCCAACTATCAACTACAGAACAAGTAACATTGGTTTAAAAATAATTACATACATTTTAATAAGTATTTACAGAAAATAGGCACTGGAGGAGATCTGGGATTTAAATCTTTTATTTCTTACAGGTTGTTTTGCAAAAGTACTGGTTGAGCACGTTGGTATGAAGAACTTGAAATCCTGGACTAGTGTAAATCGAGGTGCTATTATTCTTTCCAGGTATGTATGATTTGTATCTCTGTACAGGATCATCCCCATCCCATCACACAAGAAAGACTTCCCTTTCGCTGGTCTCCATCCTTGTACTTGTTTTCAGTAGTCTGCTGTGTTCTCAAGTATTCATGGTCTAGACTTAGCATTTCTCAACCTGGGGCCACAGGTGACTATCACGTGAATGGGTGGCCATGACACATGATTGGGGGCACATAGGAAGGGAACAGAGTCAGAATTCTGGAAGCTGTAGCTGGGAAATGATTGTGAAACATTTTTCTATAACTCTTTCAACCAATCCTTATAAATTTTTCAGGTGCCTTCTTTTGGATGCCAAATATCTTAAAATTATGATAATCACAAGGCATCATATGATTCTCTCACCTCATTGATGGGTTTAGTTTAACAGTGTTTGGGTGGGTTTTTTTTTTTTCAGTGAATGCGTGTGGTCCATATGAAAACTGGACATTCTTTATTTTCAACTGTTCTAAAAGATGTCAAGAAACTTCCAACAGAAATCTTGTTTGTGAAACAATTATTTCTAATTAAAAAGGTAGAAAACTGATGACTTGTTGAGGCATATGTTCACCTTGTATGTACTCTGATCCTTCATAGATCATTGGGTCGATATTACGCATGCGATTGTTATTTTCTTGTATTCTATTCCCCGGTACAATTACTTTAAGATAGATACTTGTGTCGCTTTAAAGCAGTTCTGTTGGGTTGTTTTAAAGCATTTGTTTTATTGTGTTTTTCAAGGTTTAGAGAAAGAGCAAACTTGGTTTGAGTTTCGTACAGTTGTTCATATGCAGTATACTATGCCATTTACTCTGTATTGTTTTTAAGTGTTAGAGGAGTTAAGGATATAATTTGATTAGGTACAACTATACTCACAAACACTCTTCATCGACTTATTAGCATCTCCAAATACATGCATGGTGCATATAATTTTTCTTATTTCTCATTAAAATTAATTTATTTTCTAATTGATGTTGAACAGCCAGAATCCATTAGCTGAAACAAGAACTCTTTTCATATGAATTTCTTTACTGGGCTTTTGAAATGTTAACACCTTCTGACACATTCTTTCATTACACTCAATTAACTAAAAATTTCAGTGAATGCTGTGGAATTAATTTATAAAGATTGCTCATCAATCAAAACTCCTCTTGGGTGCATTTCAAACCTAGGAAAGATATACCATTCAGATTATTATAGAATAGGAACTCATGAAATTATTTGGGGTGCTGATCAAAAGTTGAATATCAATTATCTAATACTACAATTATCTTTTTGTTTGGATTTATAATATGGTTATATGCTTAGTCTCTGATGAAATTCTGTTTGTATTTTATTTCAAACTCACTCAATTTTTCAAATTTTATTTTAAACTTTTTTGTTGTTTTAGGGTAAGTGCAAAAAAGAGAATCAGTCATGTATCTAATCTGAAGATTAGCTCAGGGGAGCAGAACTCTTCGGCAATCATAAGTTCAAGACAGATGTCTCAGCTCCCCACGTCGTGTTGCTCAGATGACTATTTTTTTTTTTCTGAGCTTTAATTACCTTGGTTGTAAAATGAAAATAATAATTCTGGTTTCTTATAAAAATTGAGATGATGCATTATAAAGTGATTATAGTATCCTTAATATATAGTTTGTGCTTAGTGACTTTTGTTACTATTAAGCTGTAAGAAACTATGTACTTAGCCATGATAGATAAAATAAAAACACCTAGTGATTCACAAACCTAATACTACACTCTTATTTTTTAATTTTGTAAGTACAAGCTTTATTTGTGGCTTGTCTCCCATAAGTGGCAAATGTTACTTGGTGCTTTTTATGGACATGATAGACATTAGTGGACCCAGTGACTTTGGAAAATTCCAGTTAATTTCTTTGACTAGTTGTGTTACGGAGGTCAGTGTTTACATGTGGTTTTGAAGAACGGGAGAAAAGGAAAGTTTGGTTCTGGTGTCCGGCAATCTAGTGCTTGAGACCTAGCTCTTTAAAGAAAAAAAGAATTTTGTTCATTGGTCAGGGATCACTCCAGAAGCATTGCAGAAAGTAGAACTGACATTTTTATTTTGTTCAATATCTCACTTCGATTGAGTACTAATCGAAGTGTTAGGATCTAACTAGATTGTATCGGTGGCTTTCAACCTTTTCACACTTGTAAACTGGCTATTGAAAATATCTGCTTCAGGCCATTGGTTCTCAAAGTTGTTTGCACATTGAAATCCTCTACAACAGACTTAAAACCTACTGAATTAGGGGCCCGAGCAATAGTACAGCAGGTAGGGTGTTTACCTTGCTTGTGGCCGACCAGGATTTGATCCCCGGCATCTCATGGTCCCCACAGCACTGCCAGAAGTAATTCCTGAGTGCAGAGCCAGGAGTAACCCCTGAACATTGCTGGGTGTGACCCAAAAAGAAAAAAAAAGCCTACTGAATTATGGGTCCAGTCCTCAGAGATTATGGTGATTTCCTTGTCATGATTGTGGTCTGGCTGTCAACCATGTCAATAGGAATATTAGATGTTGAAAATTTGAAAATCTCTGGGGCTGGAGCGATAGCACAGCAGATAGGGCGTTTGCCTTGCATGCGGCAAACCCGGGTTCTATTCCCAGCATCCCATATGGTTCCCCAAGCACCGCCAGGAGTAATTCCAGGAGTAACCGCAGAGCATTGCTGGGTGTGACCCAAAAAGAAAAAAAAATGGAAAATCTCCTTCAGGTGATTCAAATAAGAAGGAAAGTTTCGGAAACTCTATGTTAGGTCATTAGAGTTGAAAAGACAATTCTTTGAGGCAGAAGGTGGATTCTTTATTCTGTATGTCATGAAACTTGAGTTTGGGAGATTTTAAATAGCATGTTCCCTGTTGTCCTGTACAGTTGCACTGAGTGATACAGGCAGGTTTCAAATTCAGTCAGTTAAGTTTCAAAGTAAGACACCTAATGTTTCAGATATAGAGTTAAGCAAAAAAGGCCATTAGCCCCTACCCTTCATACCCATTACCTAGCCTCTGCATGTAACTCCCTCAGTCAGCTCAATCACTTGCCCGGTGATTTTTGGCTGTTAGTTCTGTACTAGTGGGGTGCTGAAATAAAGGGGGGAAATTTGTGGAGTATAAAATAACATCACATGAGACTGACACCAAGTAGACACAAAGGCCAGGAAAATTGCTCCATAGATTGAAGCCTGCCTGAGGAGTGAGGGGAGAAGTGGCTGGAATAGAGAAGGGATCACTAAGAAAGTGATGATTGGAAGGATCAGCTGGGATGGGAGATGTGTGCTGAAAGTAGATAAAGGACCAAAAGCGGTGGCCTCTTGGTATCTGTTGCAAACCATAATGCCCAAAAGTAGAGTGTGTGGGAAATTGTCTGCCATGGAGGCAGAGGGAGGGTGGGAAAGGGGGCAGGGGCGTGTGCTGAGGAGATTGATGGTGGGGAATGTGCACTGGTGCAGGGATGGATGTTTGAACATTGTATGATTGTAACTCAAACATGAAAGCTTTTAACTGTATCTCAACGATGATTCAATAAAATAAAATTAAAAAAAAAAAGAAAGGGGCAAAAATTTCACTGGGTCCTGAGGTATGTAGATGGAGAAGCAAAGATTGAATACATGTAGAAAAAGTCCTACATTAAGGTAAAAATAGGTCAGTTATGTGTAGAAGCAAGTTGCTTCCACATTTGCTTGTCTGACTCCACCAGAGAGCTCCTAAGACATTTTTTGCTTGTGTGGTTTTAGAATATATGCTATGAGCCTCATCATTTATCTGGTGACTGGGGGGAAAAAATCGCATTCATGGGGCTGGAGAGACAGCACAGCGGGTAGGACGTTTGCCTTGCACGCGGCTGACCCGTGTTCGATTCCCAGCGACCCATATGGTCCCCTGAGCACCGCCAGGAGTGATTCCTGATGGCAGAGCCAGGAGTAACCCCTGTGTGTCGCCAGGTGTGACCCCCCCACAAAAAAAAATTCATGTCTTTTCTGATATGTTAGTTAATTTTCTTATAATTTAGGTACAGATTACATTTGTTGATGATCTAGAGTTTTGCTGTTGTTGTTGTTGTTTTAATCAAAACTAATTTTGTGTGTGATTTTTGTTTTTGTTTGTTTTTTAGCCTTCTCCAGAGTTCTGATCAAGAAATTGCAGACAAAGTCAAAGCTGGTCTGAAAAGTCTGATTCCCACGTTGGAAAAAAACAAAAACACCAGCAAAGGAGTAGAAATCCTACTTGAAAGATTGACTGCATAGATCATAATAAGATTGAATCAGTTTTTTCTTATTTTGTTCTGTTTTCTCAATGTGGAAAACACTGATAATTTGAATGCTCTGTATATGTGTTTCTTTGTACAAGAATCTATTTATAAAATCATTTCTTCAAAAAGGCTCTTTTTTTTTTTAATCTGTCATTGAGTAGTATGAGTAGTATTGAATAGTAAATAACAGAATCATAATACGGAGTCAGTCATGAGAAAGATTTGTCAGTCATATACATGGGACCAACCAGATAGATAGGAAGGGAATTACATGCATTGATTTCAGGAAGGACTTTTTGAAGAACTGAGAAGACTTCAAGGAGGAGGTAGGACTTCAGAGGACCTCAAAATAAGGTAGACTGTTATGAATCAAAACCACTGGGAATTCTTTGCAGGAAGCAATGAAGTAAAACTTATCAACTGGTTGCCAGGAAAGCACAGGAGCTTGGTGGACGCAGGAGGAGGCTGTCCAGCAGTGAGGGCAGCAATTCCTAGTCACCTTAGATTGGTTTCTGTGTTAGAAGCCTCTTGAGTTCATTGAGACATGCAGAGAGAAATGCACTAGATGATTTAGGGGCTCAGCAGTGTTGAGGTCAAGGTCACTGGGAAAAATCTTGGGAACTTCCAAGTGTCTAAGATCCTAGGATCCAGGTAAGATCTTTTAAGATCCTGTGAAAAGACCTTCTCTTAAGGAGATACTTGATAAAGAAATAGAAGCCAGTAATTAAAGTTTCAGAATAGAAGATATGCAAGTTGGTTAACAGTGCAGAAATGTGAGTTTAAGAACAGGTTAGGGTGCTTGTCTTTATTTGAATGGCAAGTAATTTATTAAAAGTTGCGTGTATTATATCACTCTCTAGGTATATGGGTGAATTAGATACTTTTTTTTTCTTTGTGTGTGTTGTGTTGTATTTTTCCACAACTCCCCACCCTCATTAAATCTCTCTTTTCAGGTAACTTAGTTCTGTTCTATTATGAGTGTCCTGGTTTCTTTTTATTATGCCTCTCATCGTTTTCCCCTTACATTACATACATGAATAAAATTAGCCTGTGTTTGCCTTTTCCTTCTGATTTATTTCACTTCCAATAATTTCCTCAAGCTCCTTTCATTTTATTGTGAATGTGTCAAAATTTTTTTTCTTAAAAAAAATACAGCAGAATAGTTCTCCATTGTGTAAATGCACTACAACTTTATCAAAACATCTATCAGCTGGTACTTGAGTTGCTTCCAGATTTTATCTATTGTAAATCGCCCAGTAACAAATACTGAGGTGGTTGTGACTTTCTGTGTTAGTGTCATTTGTATTCTTTAGATAGCCGGAAGTGGAACTGCTGGATTATATGAGATCTCTTACTTTAGTGCCTTAAGGAAGCTCCATTGCACTTTCTAAAATAAGTTTCTATTTATTACATTAGTTTATATTAGTTTATATTCCCATTACCAGTTTGCCAGAGTTTCTTTTTCTCCATATACTCCTAAGTATTTGTGGCTGAAGCAATAGCACAGCGGGTTTGCATGGCTGACCTGGGTCCGATTCCTCCGCCCCTCTCGGATAGCCCGGCAAGCTACCTAGAGTATCCCGCCCGCACGGCAGATCCTCGCAAGCTACCGTGGCATATTTGATAAGGCCAGAAACAACAAGTCTCACAATGGAGACGTTACTGGTGCCCGCTTGAGCAAATCGATGAACAACAGGAGGACAGTGCTACCGTGCTACTCCCCAGTATTTACTGTGTGTCTTATTCTTGATGCAAACCATTTTCCCAGGTATGAGGAGAATGGTCTCCATTTAAGTTTTCCTTGTGATTGTTACAACGAGCTTTTTTTCCCCCAAGTGCCTGTTCACCATCTCTATATTCTGTTTGGTAAAGTGTTTTTTCGAATATACCCATTTTATTGTGTATTTGTTTTAAGTTGTATGTGGTTTTGGAGGGGAGAAGGGATTTTAGATTTTTGAGCCCTACCCAGTGGTACTCAGGAGATTTTCCTGACTCAGAACTCCAGGGATCATATGTGGTGCCAGGGCTCGAATATCTGCCAGCCACATGCAAGACACGTAAGTGCCTTATCCTGTACCATCTCTCCAACTTCCAAATTGCATGATTCTTTATAAGAGGCTTATCGACGCTAAATCCCTTATCAGAAGTGTGATGTGCAAATGCCTTCTCCCATTTAGTAAGCCATCTCGGTTCTATTTATATTTTGCTATATAGAAATGTAGCGATTCAGTATGGTTACAGTTGTTTTTCTTCACTGCTTTTAGCTCCCTTGCTAAAGGTAAAGGTAAAGGCCCTCCCGTTGATCATCGATTTGCTTAAGCGGACCCAGTAACGTCTCCATCATGAGACTTGTTGTTACTGTGTCTGGCATATCGAATACGTCACGGGGAGCTTGCCAGGCTCTGCCGTGCAGGCGAGATACTCTTGGTAGCTTGCCGGGCTCTCCGAGAGGGGCAGAGGAATCGAACTCGGGTCGGCTATGTTGGCTGCATGCAAGGCAAACGCCCTACCACTGTACTATCACTCCAGCCCATGGGATCAATTCTCCAAGAGCATCTCTGTCAGTAATCACATTTCACCTGTAGTATCTTCTGGGTGTGTGCCTTATGGTTTCAAGTATTATGTTGAGACCTCGAATTTACTTTTATATGGGGTTATTTTTTTTTTATATCAACTACAGTTTCCCTAACCATTTATTGAAAAGACTTTGCTTTCTTCATTGTGTGGTTAGTCTTTACTCATAATCTTTTGTCAAATTAAATATTGATAAGTGTTCAGATTTGTTTTCTGGGCTTTCCTTGACCTGTGTATCCATTCCAGTACCATGCGATTTTAGTTCTTATTGCTTTGTAGCATAGTTTGAAGTCAGGTGACCTTCATTGTTGGTTTTTGGGTTTTGGTGTCTTTTTTTTTTTCCCAGAAATGTCAGAGCTTGTTGAAATCTTTCATGGTTTTATGTGAACATTAGTGGGTTTTGTACTTTTCAAGCTTCGAGCTTAGAAGAATTTATCAGACTCCCCTGCCTTTGTGTCCCTGACTGCTTTTGATACCAAGCCTTAGTTTCTATAAATAATCTATTACAACAGAATACCTTTGTGGTATGCCTGCCAGCAACATGCAGGACAAGTGTCTTACCCCTGTACTCTCCCTCCCAATTGCATGATTCTTTGTAAGACTTACCTATGTTAAATCCCTTATCAGAAGTGTGATGTGCCCATCATCCACATTTAGAGGTCACCATCACGACCATCCTGTTGTTCTTGGATTGCCTCGCGCAGGCCCCAGTAGCGTCTCCTTTGTCCTAGCCCTGAGATTTTTTTAAAAAGTGCCATATTCAAGGCTCTTTCAGGGTTAGGAGAATGAGACCCATCATTGTTACTGGTATTTGGCATATTGGGTACGCCACGGGGAGTTTGCCAGACTCTGCCGTGTGGGCAGGTAACATTTGGTAACCTGCCAGGTTGTCCAAAGTAAGAATGAGATCATAAGATAATAAGCTTCTGGGAGCTGGGTTTTATAGTCTCTGGTTCTTGGCCGTTGATGGGATTACACGGCGCCAGGGGACCAGTTGGTGGGTGAGACCCCCCACCTACTGGAAGATGGAGGATCTGGGTGGAGGATGCTCAGCTCCGATCCAAGCAGGCTTGGAGATCTCAGCCTTGAGACCCGCATGCCTTTGTTCCTCTGCCGGTACCTTCATGCGTGTGGAGAGTGGTCTCAGCATGGTGGTGGCTGGTTCTGGAGGTCTTGGGCTGCCGGAGCTCTGCTCGGGGTGGGGAGGGAAACTCCCCGCACTCCCCTCCAAGGGGACCGGTGAGGACAACCAGGCGCGGGGGCAGGAGACTGCATCTAGAGGTATGATCCAGGTTTTGACTTGGGTTTGTCAGTGTAGTTAAACTTGCTAGACAATTAGTGTGCCTTTTATATACAAACTGTAGTGTCCCAGGCCTTCTCCCAGGTAAACTGCCCCTCCTGTTCCCGGGTGTATTGAAGCCTGTGCAAAAGAGCTGATACTTACAACCTATTTCAGCATGGATTCTACCCACGCTGCCTCAGCTACATCAGCTGGCAGTAAGGGTGTTTGTGAAACTACTTGGGGACCTGAAGATGGGTTAGAAAGAAATGGGGAAAAGGCAGCCTTGCAACTTACAAGTTTGTTCAGTATAGTGAGCCCATGAGCAGTTAAAAGTTAAACAGTGAATGCCATTTGTTGAATATTTGAGACAAAATTATATGATTATCAGTCAAAACCTGTAACAAAGTGGTAATCCTTCTGCCCTCTCAGAAGTAATGTCATGATCTTTTTAAAGATCCGTGAAAGATTTAAATAAATATCTTTTTACTTAAAACTGAAATTTGAGGTGTTATTTATTTTTACCAATCTTAGGCCCTTTTGTTTTTTTGATGGGTCTCATTCTCCTAACCCTGAAAGAGCCTTGAGTATGGCACTTTTTAAAAAAATCTCAGGGCTAGGACGAAGGAGACGTTACTGGGGCCTGCTCGAGGCAATGGACGAACAACAGGATGGTCGTGATCGTGATTTATTTTTACCAGTCTTAGGCCCTTTTTTTTTTTTTGACCACACCCAGTGAAGCTTAGGGGGTTACTCCTGGCTCTGCATTCAGGAAATACTCCTGGTGGTGCATGGGGGATCAGATGGGATGCCAGGGATCAAACGTAAGTCAGCCCCATTCGATCCCTGGCAAACCCCCTACCTGTTGTATTATTGCTTCAATTGCTTCAGCCTCTGTGTCCTCCCCACCTTGCTTTTTTTTTTTTTTAAACTTTCTATTGTGGGAGAATCGACCTGAGTTTGATTCCTCCACCCCTCTCAGAGGGCCCGGCAAGCTACCAAGACTATCTCGCCCGCACGGCAGAGCCTGGCAAGCTCCCCGTGATGTATTCGATATGCCAAACACAGTAACAACAAAGTCTCCAGTGGAGACGTTACTGGGCCCACTCGAGCAAATCGATGAACAATGGAGGACCGTGACTGACTGTGATTGTGGGAGAATACAGGTTAAGAATTCGTCACCACTGTTCTCACACTTCCTTTCTCCATCTTCCCGACGGAAAAATCAGTGTTCAAAACTGATTTGATTATCCAACATCAGTTGTTAAATAT